TGATAGTTTCTTGCGTGGTCTTCTTGACCACATCTGCGATGGCCTGGAGCGTCGTCCCGTTAGACATATTCTTGTGCCTGATTCTTATTGCCTCTGGAGGCGCAAGGGGGCCAAGACCAAGGACACTGTGCCACTGATCTCCAAGCCATCTGTGCTTGCACATGCTGTTGTTGGACAATCTAGGGACGACTCCTTGGACGATGCCGTAGTGTGTATGGTCCACACCAGTGGAGTGATCTGCGGATTCAGCGAGGATGTTGTCGGCTTGATCATAAGAGTCGTCTGGAGCGATGAATTCACGACCAATGGTAATCGCGCCCTGGCGGAAATCCCTGACTCCCCATCGACAGTCGAAGTAATCATGGTTCCACTGCTGAATGTTGGCGGAAAACCTTGTAGGACTTGTCCTCATGCCCTCACCGACGCAGAGGTACCTAACATTACATGAATGCATGTGTAAGAGTGGTTTCCATAATCATGGATGGTTCAGGACAATGCTCACGTTCTGTACAGATGCTCGGCCTCTGCTCCATATGCAACCCCAGCAAGGATGGCTTCGGCGGTGCGCAACCCCCCTGCAATCATTTCGAGCACCAAGAATGCGATGTCCTTCGGAACGAACCCTGGGGTGCATGAGTCTCGATCAGTAATGCCGGTCCTTTTGCTGTAAGCTGTCAGGAGGAACATCTCCATCCCCTGCATGAAGAGGTTGCGATGCCTGTCCGAATTGCTGATTTTGTGGTCTACGAACTGGGTTCCGCGACATGAGATGTGAGTGGTGATGTACAGAAGATGGTAGATGGGCTCCCAGACGCATGACGAGCGTCTGAGCAGATCCTTGATGCCGGGGATGTTCCATGTGATTCGTCCTGCGTTGTCGACCATTGCCAGGTCGTAGTGATCAACCAAGTAAAAGAACATGGCGTGGCGATTTTTAAAAAAGGGGTCCTCCGATACGAGCGAATAGCCACGAGTAGAGTTGGTGAGGTCGTCCTTGACCTGCTCTGGCACCATCTTCAACATGAAAATGTCATTGGTGAGGGCGGAATAGCGCGACTTTGACACCTGGAGGAGCCTTTGTATCCCGTCTCTCAGCTTGTCCATGTGCATGGTGTGGACGCCTATCGTGATGGACTTGACGTCTGGATCGACATAGACATTGGGTTCTCTGGTTTGACTAAACACCAAAGAGGACGCATATTGCTGCATCTCATAGATGATGTTGAACGTAGTCGGACGGCCGAGGCGTAGCACCCGATCATGAACACGAGCAACGCGGCTTGAGATAAAAAGGCATGATAAGTGTATCGAAGCGAATGAATGGGGAGACTTGCTCACTCATGGTCGTCTGAATGTACTGAGTCCGTATCCTCGTCTTTGTCCATCAGCGCCTCAAGGAGGGATGTGACGTTGCAAAGATATTTAAACTTTGCAAGATCTGGTGTGAGGACGGACGCTTCACAGAAGTTTCCGTCCGCACGCAACGCCCTGAGCCAGATGGCTCGTTTGATAGGGTTTGCCCATCGCTGGCCCACGCACAAATCTGGATCGGTATCGACTAGGGACCACGCCAAATTATGGTAGAAAATCATCCTCTTTCGTGGGGAGGCATTCTCGTCGCCCAGCACAGTCACAAGTTCCTCGAGACACAGGGTCTGCGCAGCAGACAGCTCGAACGAGAAATCCAATGGGAATCCGAGGTGAACGCGCATGATCGCCCTCATGAATTGAACAATGAAGCCTGGATACTTGACGTTTTCATCCGACACAGGCCTCCAATGATTGTCCCTATACGCGTCCATCACGGTCAATAATGGAATTATTATGGTGCGATAGCACTGCTCACGTTTCTCGTGGTATTGCGTCACCATACAACAGTATTTTAGACAGGCTCAACCTATGAGGATGACCATCCAAGATGGTCGATGCCCTAGCCATGTGGTCTTGCACTGCAGCAGCGAGACGGGTCAGAATTCCGCCAAATTCATCATCGCTATGCTTTTTTTTGATTTGTTCCGCTGCCCGCCTCCGGGCTGGATTCATCCGGAGTTCTACCTCGAACCTGTCCCAACCCATGAAGCGTATCAGGGGAGTCCTCTCCCGTTCGGTATTGGCTGGAACGACCAATGAAAGCTCAACTGCAGGTAGGAATGTAGCCTTAAGCGTGGATTTGAGATTGGGTCTCGCAGATGGAATGACGTTTTGCCCAACCTCGAAATACGAGTTGCCAACAGCAGTAAAGATATGTTGGACCAGACAAGACCGATACTGGATCTCCTGTAAGCCGGTAACGCTGTGCTTCTCTCTACTATGGCGCTGAATGGTTCCTAAATCCTTCACGGCATACACGCAATCAGCGGATGCAGTGCATGAAAAACCTTCAACGGGGGACGCAATCATCTGTACAGGTGGTCCACCTGCTGTTGGTAGCTTGACATGCTCTGGCTTCTCGTGAACATTTGACCGCGAACAATAGTCCAGGAATGACTCCATGGTGGATGAAGGTACCTAGTAGTTACGTGGGATGCCCATGTCAAATTAGAGTGCGGCCGTACAAGGGATGAACGTACCTGATACGCATGATGGTGCTTTTTCCTGTGTCCAGAAACCATCCCGGAGGTCAATGCGACCTTGCACGAGTAGCAGATAAGGAACCTCAAATGGCTGTGAAAGCACACGCCGAGAGAATCTAGAACCTCGTTGGACATCAAGTAGTCTACTGATGGCGACAATGAGACAGTGCTGGAGTCCATATCAAAGGAAGGATCTGCGTATGCGAGATGGACGCTACGTTAAGCGGTGACCTTGAATTTTCATTATATGTATGTTCACCTCTGCTGCAGACATCCTCACGGGATGGACCTTCTGGGACTAAATCGTCGGACCAGACATCCTGTGGGCCTTGATAAATGGGTAAACATGTGACAGCATAATATGACGTGTTAAAACTGACATATGAGGTTGCCAGTCCCATCGCGGACACCGCTGTCCTGATCGAGAACCTGTTTGGAGGCCACAACTATTGAGGTCAGTGCGACTTGATGGTGGCTCGATCTGTAATGAAACTTACGACACTCAGGAGCATCAAAGACCTTGATTTTGACTGATGCGTTGTGTGCGACGTTGATGTGCTTCTGAATAGCTTCACGCTTTTTGGAAATGAACTTACACTCCGGGAGCGGGCACGAATAATGTCCATCGGATTGGCCTACAACGTACTCGTTCCCACCAATCAGGAATGGTATAGGGACGGAGTGGTAGCGGTATCGGTGCTTTCGCGCGATGTCGCAGGTCGGGAATGGTCCCATGCCGCATCCTGGGTGGTCACAGACGTCGTTGTCCGACATTTATATCAGTAAGCAGAGTATATGCGATGATAGATTGATAGATGTGATACTTTATCGTTGGATGGCGGATGAATGGCGCTGGCGAGGTTTTATAAGACTTCAAACATACGGGCCTGCACCTGCAGGGACGAAAAAAAATGTGAAGGCGTGGCATGGTAAAAAAAAACGATGGACTAATGACAGCATTTACGAAAATATCAAGACGAAAACGAGACATGGTGATCTCGACGTACAGTGATCGGAGGAAGGCGATTGCAATTCTGTTTGAGCACTCATGATATGTTAGGTTAGATCATTATACATAGAAAATAAAGGTTGATGTCACCGGAAATGAGTCTTCTCACTCGAGGTTCATCCACATAAAGACACGTACTTGTCTTTATCTAGTTAATGCGATCGAAGCGCCCCCTAAAAAAAACTCTTCAATGTTGGAATGAATGGAGGGTACAAAAATGAGACGCAATGATCGGTGACATTTGCATTATGGTCCCGTGTCCAATCATGTTCCGGGCGGATGGGACTCTAATGGCAGCCGTGAACATCGGATGAAAATAAATGTCGTTCGTGGATATGCGCATTGCGCCCAATGGCAATGGTGGAGTAAAGCTATTTTTAGACAGTTAAAGATTTGGCATGGGCAGAGCCCATATCCTTTACACTGGTTGCGAATATCTCACCAGAATACCTCAATAAGTAGTCACAGCTCGTGTACGACTCATTGCATCGATCGCCAGGAAGTCCATACTTGGACACGTCCTTGGCCCAAACAGGGATGGACGAATGATATACATGAGCCGTCGACCCTGCTGAAAAAGATCGAACGGCACATGCTAGTGTCTCAGTAAGGGCTTCATAGATCAACAGGCGACCTAGAACATGCAGGCATCTCAGATGCTTCCAGGCATGCGGACGTGTTCTCCCATGAACTGATATCTGTGGCGCAGAGGTGATAAAGAAAATGAGTTTAATGACCTTGGATGTATTTTCGTCGCTTGCGAAGGATGCCAGCATCACTGACAAGCATGTCGACATGTGATGGAACGTCCGCAACACAATGCAGCTGACACCTGCAGCCATTATCTGGTCTTTGAAATCAAGGATGGTCCAAAATAAAACGATTGAATATGTCCAGGAGCTTGTTCACCAGCTCCCGACCTTTCTATACATCCATTATATGACACCTGGAGCTGACTCGATCTTCAGTGAGATAGATGCACCAAAATGAAATGATCTCTTTTCATGAATCATATACGACGCATGACTTCAAACCGATGTGCATCAGGACAGCGATGAACAAGAGCAGTAAAATAGAACGCTCCAAGGTATATTATGATCTATATACGCGGGTCAAAGTCGCTGGTGATGACGTGGATAAAGAGACATAAAAGAAGCAGTCACGGCCTTGATCATTTTCTTCAAAGCGCCGATAGCAAGAAGAAGGCAAGTTTTTAAGTGATCCTGCTGTCACTCGAGTCACGAAAGCCTGGTTTTTATTTTAAGACTCGTAAATATACGAGTGTAAAGACTGAGAAGGAGCTCACAGAAAGCTGCTGGAGATTCACAATATGACTAAGTCCATCACAAGCGACTCGGACAGGGTGATGCCTGAAATTCTAAATAACGCCGAAGATACTGGATAAGTGAGGTTGACGCCTATGGATCTAAATAAGGGAGGGTGACGCCTAAGATATTGGACACAGCGAGGGTGACGGGGTGACGCCTATAGATCCAAATAAGGGAGGGTGACGCGTAAGATACTGGATACAGCGAGGGTGACGGGGTGACGCCTAAGATACTGGATACAGCGGGGGTGACGGGGTGACGCCTATAGATCCAAATGAGTGAGGGTGACGCCTGAGATACTGGATACGGCGAAGGTGACGGGGTGACGCCTAAGATACTGGATACAGCGGGGGTGACGGGGTGACGCCTATAGATCCAAATGAGTGAGGGTGACGCCTGAGATACTGGATACGGCGAGGGTGACGGGGTGACGGGGTGACGCTTGCGGCAGTTCCAAGAGGACATAATGGCGGATGGGAAAAAGAAGCGAGGGTGACGGACAGCCACTTACGACACCTCATGGGAAAAGAAGGGGTGACGCTGACAGCGCCAAGGGCAAAAATGGCGGATGGGAAAAAAAAAGTGAGGGTGACGGACAGCCACTTACGTGATGGACTTCCATTTATGGACGGGGTGACGGGGTGACGTTTACAGGGGTGCGCCCGTCGCACCAAATAGATAGAACCACGCGCATAGATTGAATCTGAGTCAGGGGGGTCAGAGGAGCTCGACGCCACGCCAGGACGACGATGTGAAGACATGATGGTTAAGGGTTACAACGTTAAATGTTAACATTAAGCAATGAACGATCATTTAATCATTATTTGTACATGTTAACGTGAATCTGCCATTGTCAACAGTGATTATATGCGCAACAAGAAGTACAAAATTAATACTACAGTTACAACTCGAGTGATTTACGTTACTACTGTCATGGGACGCTTTGGCGCATGGGCGCACTTAGATGTACTTTTAGAACCTGCTCTGTCCTTGTAATACATTACTGCAATGAAATGGTCTTATCAGATTTTCTCGAGTGATCAGAACTTATCAGAACTTTCAACATATCAATGCTTCTAAGGTCACAAACTATGCTAAGGTGCGAGTTACCTACTCAACTTCCGTCATCTGGCCTGAAAAAGCTTTTATCAACCAGACCTTATATGTTTCTTTACCCGCCTTCCGTACGCTGATGCACCTGGTCCACCTTTTCTGACCTTCCGCATCCTGGCCAGCCCTTAGCAGCCCAGATCCGATTTGGGGAATTTTGGTGATGTCATAGAATAGAGAAGACATGGGGTCACAAGAGCAGCGCGTCTGATAAGAAACACGTGAATCACATGAACGGTATGATAAGAAGGCTGCAGCAGGGACGGTGAAGACCCGGTGCTCTACTATGAGCGTTAATTGCAGCTCCAGCGCTGAAATTTCAACTTCCGCGAACATACAAATCCAATTGCAAGACCTCGAAAACCTTGTCAGCGCCTCCGAGTGAGTAGTAGCAACAGCGGCGGTTGAAAACATCAAGTCAACTATCTGGCACTCGCCAACACCAGAACGTCTGCACGCAAGGCGTTACCTAAAACTCAATCAACTCAACCTACAACTCGGATTGTTCATTACTATCTCTTTGCTTTCCTAGAATACCCGCCATCCGTGCTCATCTAGCTCTCAAGTCAAGTCTCACCAGTGCGTGCGCCCTCCGTCGCACCAAACTTCAGTCTTCGTCGCCCACCGCATCTCCCCCAGGTATGGAGCATTGTATTTCTTGTATCTTATCGGTTGATTTATTGTCAGACGTTCCAAAACACAAGCGCGTGTGCAAACAGCAATGGTGACTTAGACATCTCGTCCGTTTTGAAGCTGGACGAGCTTTAACAAAATGTAGAAACATCTCCTTGTGCCTCTTTATCCTGTGTGTTGTCTTTCTTAGTTACTAGAGAGCGACAAATTTATTTGCATTTCCAAGTCGTTGCCCACCTTTTGTAGGTCGTGAGTGTGCTGATCCTCGTTCGAGCCATGCTAATCTAAGTCGTTGCCCACCGTTCGCAGGAAGTGAGTGTGTCGATCCTCTTTCGAGCAAGAACCATGCTGGTCCAAGTCGTTTCCCACCGTTCGCAGGATGTGAGTGTGTCGATCCTTGTTCGAGCAACAGCCATGCTGATCCATGTCGTCGCCCACCGTTTGCAGTATGTGAGTGTGTGGATCCTCGTTCGAGCAACAGCCATGCTGATTCATGTCGTTGCCCACCCTCCGCAGGTCGTGAGTGTGTCGATCTTCTTGGAGCAAGAGCCATGCTGATCCATCAATAGGACGCGCTTAACAACGATCGTTGTGTAGAGATACGGTCCAAGTTACCCTCTGTGGTATGTCAACGGATTGTACACATGTCTCATGTTGCGAATCTGCAAGGCATCTTGCTCATCACCCTTGGAGGACATTGTTCAGGTCATTTCCGGTGAATTTTGAGTCTGCGTTGCGATGAACCTGCTTATTATTGACCGTTCAGCTGCTGTCATTATCTTCGAACACTCTTTTTATATTTTCGACAATCAGCGCCACTACTGGAACTCTGATCCCTCTTTTTATGTCGCACTGGAGCAGTACATCTCATCTCCGCATGCAGGTGCTGTCATGAAAGCTGTGAGCGATGCCGTTCACGCTTATGAAAAAGCGGTGGCTACTTCTGGGAAGGAGAAAGAATCTTCGTGCTCTTCGGCGAAGGCGCAGTTAATCGACGCTGTTCTTGAAATCACTCTAAATCATCGCCTGTGTTTGTTTCGCCGTCATGTTGTTGCAGCGATCCCGCTGATCTGCTTGTCTTTCAGCAAGACCTTAATGTTAGGCAATGCAACGCAACGTAGATGGTGTTCCGAAGTGGAGCTGAGGTGTCTTAGCAGTGAATGTGGGCTTCTGGAGAGGTCTATTGAGGTAGTTTCAGGAGATGGAACTGTACAAAATGGTTCACACAATATAGCACTTTTCCCTGTATGGTGTACCGGTGTTTGAAGCATGTGAGTCACACTCAGCTGAGACGGTGGTGGGATCTACTGGGCTTGATGTACCCCCGAAGCATTCTCTGTCCGATTCAAGTGCATTGAGGTCGGGTATGTTTCTACGTACCATTTTTCTCCGCAGCTTATCTCGACCTGGACCAATATTTTCAAAAGCAATACAGTTTTGTCATTTCAGAGTTACGTTATATATACATCCATGGAACGTCCCTGTGAACGTCAGTGACACCAGTTGATGGCTAAGACTGAGCTGTTCGCGGGTGATAGCCTTCGAAATTGATGGATTTCAAACAGCGGACGTACCTTGAAAGTTTTCGTTTCTTTGAAGGACAGTGTGCAGGTTACTGTGGCTCTGGATTATAAAACAAGGTGGATATCGTGATTTATCATACGTGCGCTCCGTGCATCCCCGGGGCCTACGGTTAGGACTGCATCATTCTCTTTTTCACTAAACAATGCGTGTATCGACCGCATGCATCATACTCTGGAATCTAAATGCATCTTTTCGAGGGACCGAGATGATGCTATCGTGGAACAAAAGAGAAATCGACTTACAATATGTCTGCCTTATGTCCAAGGACAAATTTGCAGCGTTGGATGTCACTGATGCCATGGTCTTCAGTGTAACCTGTAGCCTTTTCACGCGTATCTTATCAACGTACGAGAGAGCGCCTAATAGGACCATAAGAAAACACTCGCCTTTCTGATCAGACTAACGAGCTGAATCCCGTGAGAGCTTGCTGCGACCGACAGCCGTTATGATAACGTCCGACATCGCTAAGTGTCAGCATCCCAGGGTGCAATTTAAGACATGGACAAAAATCTCGATCTTTCGATGTGGTTGAGTAATACTGACACAAGAAATCGAACAGCTGTTGGCGATCAGCGTATCGATTTGCAGTCGTACCACGCTAAAATATCCTGTGACTACTTTCGTAAGCCGGACATGGAGGGACGGTCGAGTATACCTTACTACGAGGTGAATACGGGAACAGTGAATGAAAAAGGTGCGTGGCAGAAGACATACTAACCAGCTGTGGGTACTATCCGAAATGATACTCCCAATCCACGCCATAATTTTTTTCCCTTTGCTGCTTCCTTCTGCGCACCATGCTGTGACAGCGTATGCAGCAGGTACTACTATAAGCCTCCCCTCTGCCTGGCACGCCGATAGTCTCAACCACGAACGCTTACACATCTGATGAGGAAGACAAGCACGAATATGCCTGTCGCCGAGCTGATGGCGACGGGTGTTGGCTGAGTGACACGAACTTGATAAGCCTCATGTTTACTAACTGTTGCCATGAATTGCGTCCCGTTCCACGCGGATGCAGGCATTAGCACGGACCGCTCGTGGTGAAGTCCTGCGAGTGGATGCTGGGAAGGCGAATATAGGGAGTGCTTGTACTCTCCCGTGGACGCGGAGGCTTATGTGGACTGTTTGTGCTGTTGGCAGGCTTCCTCCTTGAAGGAGCTGTGATAAGATTTGTCAGAGGGGGCCGGAGACGAGGGCCTTGGGATTGGGATTTCCCGGACGGCCGGTTGTCGCTTGTGCTGGAGTTTGGGTAATTGATGAATAAACGGACAGGTATGTAGCGTGGCACGTGCGGACGATGATGAAAATTCTGGAGCGTGCGGGAGATAATTTCAAAGTTAGGCGCTGCCTCTTCGCTGATATGATATCCAGTCGTATATCGGACTTTGGACTACTATTACTTACTACTACATTGAACCTTGCGGCAAACAGTACTACAAGTGTCGTGAGTTCTCAAGTCAGGGTTATCTATTAGTAAACCTAACTCACAATGTTACAAGTCGGCACTGCGAAGTCATCCGGGCACAAAGTTTTGAACGTCACTGAACAAACAACTGAAGTTGGCTGATGTAGTACCACGTGACCACTTTGCGTCGAAATAGTCCTCGTCTTTTGATTCGTCAGCCACTCTCAACCAACTCACTGTTACTCACAGCAATAACTCGACTAAATCTAATGTTGACCTTTGGCGTCGCGGCTCTTCAAAGTACGTGTATGATCATATCTGTCCATTATCTTGTGGTTGCCTTTCCAGTATCTGCTATAGCGGCTCATACTCGGACGGACCATCCGGCGAGATTCAAAATACCGCAAAGCGCTGAGGCAGAACGTGGTGCGCCACGCACTGCATCCTTGGGTCTCGGCGCGTATTCAAAAGGTCAAGCTCCGATTTTTGTGGAAGCTATATCAATGCCCGACCAGCACGGGAGACATGTTCTAGATCAGTGGTACCGGCAGGGCTACGTACTAGTACAATCTCATGTGGGTCTACACCGGTAAGGTTCAATGTCCGGACAAAGAATATATTTCCCGCCGCCCGCACCAGCACAGCACAACACACAATCCTCGGCTCCTAACTCCGTCGCTATTCCTTTTGTTGAACCTTCTCATGATCATAATCTCGGTGTAACCATGGGGTAACTGCAATGCGTACGGCACACTACCTTTCATCCTGCCATCCACACATTGGTCTGAGTCTTGTTTCGGACGATGCTTCAAACGGTCAGGATTTGACTACTAGTGATTATGTGCTGATCATATAAGCTGAACTCAAACTGCGCCATGCTGAGGTGTGTTCCGTTGTCGATATTTGGTTCAGAGCGTTGGTGCTGGCCTTTTTTTCTATTTTGGCGTGCTGGGGGGTTACTTGTATGTATCTCTTACCGGTGACCCGCGCTAAAATCCGTCGGCGACGCAGCCGACCGCCTTAACGTACGACGTTCCTCATTTGCGAACGCAGGGTCCTATCACATACGCACGAATTCTCATTTGCTCATGCCCCTGATTACGACTCATGAAGACGTGTTCTGTATATGGAACCACCCAGTCATGTGAATGATCCTTGTACGTGCTTTTCGTACTTATGAATCTTCATCTGCAGCTGACTCACACGAACAATAATCGATCGTACGTGAGTAACGTCTTTCGAATGGTCAGATCAGATACACGTCCAGGGTCGTCTGATGGGCCTTTTCATTATTATGTTCGTCCGACGAGCCACTTATAATCACTCGAGTCATAATGTACCTTGCATCATGGAAGTACGCAGGCGCGCGTATTCTATTTAAAGTTGGCGTTTATGCGCCCTTGCTCCTAACTTGAATGGTTGCCGCGATGGCTTTAACTTTAGTTCCTGGTTCTTCTGGTGAGAATAACTACTGTTTACAAAACACCGTGTACATGTGCCAGTGGAATCCCTGGCTGACTGACTTCTTAGATTCTTCGTACCCGGACATGAGGTCATGAATATTGATTCGGCTGTGATGAATAGCGCTCCAAGGGGTATGAAGATGAAGTTCTAGGCGTTGGACCATGATTCTTCATGCTCCAAGGGCTCGGTTCGAGGCAGAAAATCTTGAATCATATCAGAGACTCAGAAGTAGGTAAGTACCGTCACTAGCGGATGAACAATTGCGGCACCCGAAAATATAGTCTATCTCATACCCCATACCATATATACGGACGATTTAAGACATGCACTAGTCCAACGTAGGCGTTCTTTATCTGAGTCGGCACGTACAATGGTGCGATAATTTAGCCAAGTACAGACAACGTGGTTTATGCTCTTGGTTCTAGACCTTGGAAGCACTGGCGGCGAATGTTCATTCATGATCTGCGAGAAAAAGATACAACGACGTCCACTTATATTCGTGGTGTCCCCCTATCTGACGACCGCTGAGATGAACATAACGTATGTACGTTAATGACTGCGTGTAAAATCCGCAGTAGAGCGATCCCGATCGAGGCTGGTGATCATTATGGGAGATCAATGTAACTTACTTTGGAATTGTGGAGTGGAGTTTAGTACTTGATCGTAATGTATGAGCTGGGGGTGGGAGGGGAAGCCTAGCTTGTTGGGATTACGCTGCACCTAGATAATTATAAGCTCGCGATAGTGGAGTATCAATGACGAGTAGGTCCGGGCCCGGGAGCAGTAGTGACATCGAATACATAATTGGGCGAGCAGTGATTGCTCATAGGACGAGCCAGTCAGCGATGCCATTAATTCGGTGACTTTGGCGTTTATTGGTAGGAATGCCCGAATGTACGTCTTTGGAGTAACGATAAGCAAACCCAAAAGAAAGGCAACTTACGAGCGGCCGAGCGAAGAGCCTATGCCGTATGTTGATGGTACATGAACTCAGCTGGTCGTACTACTCCACATATGTACGTGTCAGTCGAAGACTGTTTTGGTAGTGAGTTTCCCAAGCGACGATTATTGTAGGAGTGACTTACGAATGGTGGAGCTTGAAGGGTCGCCTGGTTCAGGCCCCGTGGCGAGTGATTGACGTTATGTATATATGATCAGAGTCCCATAGGAGATATTGGGATGCCCTGACGGTGGCGACGCTGTTTATGAAAGGAGGGACGTTCCCCCACACGTATTAGTTATCGCGGTACATAAAAGAGGGCGGAGATCGTCGGGCGTATGAAGGGAAAGTCCTTTGGTGAGCTGGATATGGCTGAACATTCCAGAATATGAAATGGTACTTGTTCCGCCCGAAAAGACTGAAGATATGAAAGTGACGATTTGAAGATAGACCATCTGGCTACTCACGAGTGGTGGAAGAGAAACGTGCGAGAGAGGAGGGGTACTAGGTTCCCCTTTGTCATTCGATGGCCATGCCTGGAGAGTGAAGAGAGCAAATGCAAAAGCGACGTGAGAAGTGATTGGGGGAGAGTAAAATGCTAGTGGGACGACGGTGATCAGTGACGGAGTACTGGACGACCATCATACGGATGAGCTTGGTACTGAAATTGACGGCCGAAATAAGAAGGATAGAGGATGGAATAGACGACGGGGAGAATCGGCCGGCGGCAAAGAGTGCTGTGGGAGTGAAGAAGAGAAGACCGGGCACTGTGCGGCACGGTGGTGCTTGGGACATTGAGCGAAATGACCGCGGGATGGCCTCGAGGCAGTCAGTTGGTTGAACGACAGGGGTGCTACCTGGAATGGATGGATGTCTGATGCGAGGCTGTGCAGTATTCGTTTAATTAAGGATCAAGTCGTCCGGGGAACCGGGATTGTAGGGTACAGGGTATTGAGATTGGGTTTGTTGTGGAGGAGATGAAAAGCATCGTGAAGAACATGAGGCGTACTTGTCAGTAACCTAACTTGGTATAAGTTTTGACTTGAGAAGAGAAGTCAACGAAGTTCACCTCTTGACTAGTACTTACCATAGAACGGATGACTCGGGTAAAGGCGGTCGTATGCAATTACAATGTTCAATTACTTGCAATGCAAATTTATATTCACTTTCAATTGGCTTACCGGGACACGTTGTCGAGGCACGGATACCCGGTACGATTGGAGGGGTCAAAACAAAAAAAAAATAACAACAATCATAAATTTTTTACGAAATGAAATATTTGATGGGCCTCGTGCTATTAACCGATCTCGTAAGCAAAACAGCCGGCATCAGACTTTTACGCCTGGGTTCCCCGTTCCAATCAAAGTCTTCTTATACTCTGATCAAGCACACCGCAACTTAACGTTTACTTGCCTCGTTGTTCCTCTGGACGTTCACCAGTCCATGCCGTCCATAGTCAACCTCAAGTTCAAGGTCATTCCACCCTTTTTTTAAATTCATGAAAGCGCTAACGCTAACGCTATTCCTGTGTATAGGGTAACAAGTCCTTTGTTGCTTTTAGCAACTTGAGCGACACCGAGTCACTCACAAAAACTTGGAAGGTACTTATCTTCATATCTAATCTCGTTTAATATTTTTACTAACCCCTTTCATAGGTATGCACCAAAGTCGCTTCATATCTCGAGCAGGGCCAACGCCTCGAGAATCTTTCTTGGCGACTTTGGCACTTGCAAAACCTAATGGTCGACACAGACAATGCAAAGTCCAAACGCGAATTCAAGAAGTTGTCAAAGAACATGGGTGACAAACTCGACAAAGAGAAGGGCCGGTATGTTTCCTTTCATTCATCCTACAGCCTCTTAAACTAATCCCTTTCCATAGTGCTATTGAATCTCTCGAGGCACCCGACTTCAAAAGAAACGCTTCAACTGACCTCATCCGTCAACGTGCAGTCGAACGCGAACGTTCCCGAGAGGCTTCCCAGAACGCCCGGCCCGGTACCATTAAGCGAATGCAGTTTACATTCAGTATCGACGCTCCCCCCGGCTCATTCCCTGCAACTTCATCTTCATCCTACACCTTCTCTGGCGAAGGCTCCACCCCCACCAAGCCAGACCTCAGACCTAGCGTTGAGTTCAGAGAGGGTCGCAGGCGCAGGAGAGGTGACGGATCCTCTGGCACTAACCATGCCTCTTCCGACTCCGCATCCAACCAGAACGGTGTTTCTTCCTCTACAACTAACGACTCATCTTACGAAAAATTCGCCGCTTCGTATGAAAAACTTCACTTCCCTCCCATCTTTAGTACTTCGTTCGGTCCAACCGCTATCCTCTACTCTACCCCCACCCTATCTAACCCCATGAGCTACGGGGAAGGTGTCAGCGGTGGCTGCGCAACTGGTTTTAGCATTTACCGTCCGACTATTGAACTTCCTCTAGACGAACTTTTAGGCGAGGAGTACGATGGTGAAGACGACCAAATGGCTGACGCCCCCATCGAGCAACTAGACGATACGAAGGAGGACGGCAACGAAGAAGGCGACGTCGTCATGCGGTACGACGAATATAATAGCGGCAACAGTAATAATGTCTCCACCCAACCCGAGGGCGAGTCCCTCCTTGGCGGGTCTGCAACAGCAGCTTCTGCTGAACAAGACGTTCTCATGAGCGATTCTCGTCAGCAGCAGCAACCTCAGCCATCTACTCCTGATCCGTTCCCGGTCCCGCAAGTTCCTTCTCACTCTCATACTCACGCTCAATCGCACCCGCGTACTCGTGGCAAGGACCGTTCCAGTAAGACGCCCACAAACCGTCCTGTACTAACTGTACAAACGTCTGCCACTAAGAAGACTGGTAAAGCTGGACGGCGTGCTTCTGGGGGCGTGAAGAGTCCCTCGTCTGCTGCTCCCTCAGCATCTGCTCTCAAGCACTCTGCTGCTGCGAGCGCGAAACATACTGCAACTGCGACAGTGCCTGCTTCCGCCACCGCAACAAGCCTCAATCCACTTCTCACCCTCGGAGGCGCTGCACCGGGTGGAGGAAAGGCAACACTTACTGCTCCCGGCGGCGTCAAGGCTGAGTGTAGCAATTGCGGCGCTACCCATACCCCTCTATGGAGAAGGGGTTTGAACGACGAATTGAATTGCAACGCTTGCGGTCTTTATTGTAAATTGGTGAGTGTTATTTTATCTAAATACGTCGTATGGACTTTGCTGAGCGGACATCTCGTTTCTCTTCTCTCTGGTAGCATAAACGTCCGCGTCCAAAGTCCATGCGTGCTAGTCATGGGGAAGGACGACGCGGTGGTGCGTCGTCTTTGGCTTCTGCGTTGTCCACGTTGTCCTCGGTTGCAGCGCCACCGCATTCTTCTTCTTCTGCGACGCCGGTCGTGGAGGTGGTGAGTCCCGGTGTGAGTGCGGCAGCTGCAAGTGCAAGTGCTATTGCGAGTGTGAGTCCAAGTGCAGGTATCAGCGGGAGTTCAAATATCGCTACCGCAAGTTCAGCCAAGGGTGCTGGTGTAAGTTCGAGTTCGAGTGCAGGCCCAAGTGTCACTGCGACTACAACTGTGACTGTCATTGCGACTGCTACTGCGGGCATGGGATTAGGTTCAGGCAGGGGCGAAGTCGTAGAAATCATTGGTAAGTCCGATGCCCTTTCAAGTGGGCTTTTGAGAGGGGATATATATTAACTCCGTGTCTACAGGCAGCGCCCAGTGCTACAACTGTCACACGACTGCAACCCCTTTGTGGAGGAAGGACGATGAAGGCAAGACCGTTTGCAACGCGTAAGTTCTCATTTGTTGTTCCTTCTATATTCGTACCAATCTCTTATATACATGCAGATGCGGCCTCTACTACAAGCTTCACGGCTCTGCTCGTCCCATTAGTATGAAATCCGATATTATTCGGAAGCGCTCTCGACACGACGCTCGTGCACAGCGCTCCTCCCTCACTGAGCCCCCAAGCGCTTCTAACACGCCAGGCACTCCCTCCGAAACTCCTTCTCAAACTCAGACGCCCTCTGCGTCTCCAGGCGTTTCACGCCGCCCTACGCCTTCGCCTTCGCCAATTCTAGCACCAGACAGTACCACTCAACCTGTTGCCTCGCACAACATGAGTGCGGGGATGGGAGCAGGCGCAGGAATGGTGGGTACGGGTATGGGAGGCAGCAGCGAGTTGATGGGTGCGCTGGGTGACACCTATGCGGTGTATAACCCCTTCCCTGGGCCATACCACCCAGACTATCTTAGCCAAAACTGGGTGCCGCCCAGTATGGCTGGCGTCAGTAGTGGCACAAACGAGGCGTTACCATTTTCTGGAGTCGACAGTATCGACGGGGAAGTGGGTTCTAACGCGTCTTCATCTAACGCGTCTCCAAATACCAATGGTGCCGGCAACATTTCTAATAACAACGCCAATCCCACTGCGAACGCCAACTCGAACTCTAATACGACTGGGCGTACTGCCAAGCGCCGTCGTATGAGCACTGACAGCGTGTCAGAGCCGCCTAGTAGCGCGGTTTCTTACTCCTCTTATGGAGGAGACAGTTTCAGAACGGGTTCTGGTGCGACAAGCGCAGGTACTTCTTCGTCTTCGCGACGCAGCAGCATGGACTTCCCATTCTTCAGCCCTTATACTGTATTCCGAGGGAACGGTAACAACGCGTTCTGGCACCACTCTAGCAACGGTGGCGGTGCTGAACGCAGCCCGCAATTCGTGCACCCTCCAATGTTACCTGAAGCTGCTGGAATCTCTGATGGACACGCGCATGGACATGGGCGTGGTGGGCATGGACACGGGATGGATTTCCTGCACCCGCCAATGATGCTTCCGCAGGAGGAAGAGAGTCTTTTCGCGACCTATTTGCATCCCCCGATGATTCTTCCGCAGGAGGGTGAGCAGGTACAGCATGGGTATGAGTATGGACAGGGGGAGTACTACGAGACGGGGAACATGCAGCAGTACTAGACAGTTGGATGTCGCAACATTCTACGTCTTGCGCTCGGTTTGTCTCGAACGTCTTTTTCCTGTCCTCTCGTCCATCGCATCATATCCTGCATCGACATCGACATCGCATTCCTCATCTGACGCACGACTTTGAACGCACTGACACGATTTCACGCCATTTCACGACAATTTTTCCCGTCTTGTCTGTTTCTCCCTTTGCAAATGTAGAGTTCACGCATCGCATGGCTTCTCTTTGCTCGTTGGCCTTGGTGTCATCTTTTTCATTGTCCTTTGCGCAATCTTTTTATCTCGTCATCTCTGTTTACCCATTCTGGCACGCTCGCTCAAGGCATTCGCGCAGCTTAGACTCATAGAGTCATACCAATTTCACGCAATTCATCTCCATTGTGTATCGGTGCTTTTTCTACTGTAATCGACTCTATACGCGGGTCTCGTTAGCTCTGTTCATGCCTTGGGATAAGGGTTCACCAGTGAATCCGTTTCATTGTATCACGTACTTTCCTTCCTTGTACTCCTCCATTTCCTTACGTTCCTTTCTTTTACCCGCTCCATTGTACTTCTTCACCCTCATCCCTACCCTCTATCGTGAATATTGCTACTGCGCATGTCACTCTTCCAAACCTACCAGGTCTCTTTTCCCTCACGTCTATCCGTGTATATTTTGGAAGATGATTCCTCGTCATTTAGCTCAGTCGTTTGTATTCTCATTTACAACATACGTACATAACATCGCGAAGGGCTTCGCGGATCAAGTCCCCCAATGGAGATGGTTATATCTATCTACTGGTTTTAGTTTGAGCGCAGGATTAAGAGTGAAATGGGCGGTAAACTTGACAGTTGCCTCTATCGCTGTGTGGAGTTGGTGGTCTAGACGGGCTTATCATCTCAGGTACGCTAGTCCTGTTCAAAGTTTCTCTAACAGTGCAATAGCTTGAAGTGGCGAATCAATACGGCACACGTTTATCCTTTCTCATTCCAGGGGTAAACCAAATTCAGAATACACGAGTTGCCTTCCGCCGACACGCTAAGACTTGATGAAACTGAAAAGAGTATGTACGACCAACTGCGTATGGGGGAACGCCCACGCTTCTGGTTGTATTCATCACGGAGGTGACGGTCAAACGTCAAACATTGAGCCTCGCAACATGGGATCGGTCCGAACGATTGGAGATTGGACAAATACAAGTGTTGGCCAACGCTCAACATTCTCTGCCCCTGTCCAAGTACTAGGCGGGGATCTCAAGAACAAGAATGGCGACATCCCCCGGGTAGAATTTTGATCGTTGGAGTGCCGATATCATGCGTACCTCACATCTTGTCGTATTGGATGAAGTTGGTAGTCAAGAACATTCTATCTATCTATCCATCAGGGATTTTTCTTTGGAAGTTGGACGAGAAGCGTGAGCCGGGTAAGGACAAGCTGGCTCTTGATTGATCCCGGGCAATAGCACATGATGATCTATTCGATGATGATCGCAGACAAGAAGAAACCTCAAAACCAGGCGACCCCTCCATAACGACTTCCTCGTAACCGCAGCGAACTGTATTCCAATACATTCGGAGATGGAGAAGATGATGTATGATGGGTTCGGAAAGTTCCTGTTCGTAAAATCCCTGGATAGTCGAGTATTTTACGTCGACAGGTGGACATTAATATTGGTTCCATTTTACAGGCCTCAACGACTTGCAGAATTGAGTAATGGTCGAGTGCCTTCTCGCCGAGCACGACCCTGGGACCATTACGCAGAGATCACTAATTTAAAGTTTAGGCCAAGAATGCACACAAAGGAAATGAATATCATGCCTCATGTGAACCCGTAAGTATTTGCCGAAGGCAAGATCCAATCAGACACCACCGTTGACGTCGATCGTATGTTCTTTTCTTTTCTGAATTTCAACGTCTGGTAGCGCCCCAAGACGCCGTTATCAATTTCTTCATTCGCGGCAGGCGTTGAGATCTCTGGGAGGGGAAAGACAAATTGAGAATTTGCAGAGGAGTTGACTTATTATCGTACCAGAAATGCGATCACCTTCTTTGAGGTTATAGATAACTGAAATGAAGACCAGATCGGAACTCGAGACATTCACGTGCGATAAATATGTGCGAAGGGGGAGAAGAAGTGCGGGCATGCATTGGTATTTTCAACGAGGCGGCATTAGTATTTTGAATTTTCAGTGTCAAGTGACAGCTGCGATGTCTGGATGAAAGGATGAAGAGATCTAGGTCCGTTCGTAGTGGTATTGACATCGCGTCGAGCGCAGAAGTTACGAATAAACTTCTGTAAAACTTTGAACAAATCGAGGAGCATTCCAAGCTGCTGGTCCGCAGCTCTTTTCTGCCGCAACAGATCACTACCAGGCAATCCGATAGAAAGATCAGTTAAGCTCTTTCAAGGCATCAAGTTCGCCTTTACTAGCCCGACCTGGAGAGAGCGATAACAGCGCCGATATTGATCTGCGATTGATGTATCAAGATTCAGATTTCCTCCATGACACAATGAGCTGCTCCTTGCGATCCTGATAAAAACTAACCATGCAACCATGTGCTAAGATCAGGACTTTCCTTGGATACGCGGGACACGGCTCTCGCTGTGCCTGAAAGAAAACCGAAGAGGTGAAGATCAAACACGGACCGAGCACACTTGAGGATCTTTGGTCGCCGAAGCACAAGGGTCCGAGAGCCGTACAGGAAGACCGGGTAAGAATACCGACGCTATTGCAATAGATATCATTGTAGTCATTCGATATGTTGTCTCTTACCGAACCATCAGAATGCTCGCGTCTCGCCGCTCGTGCTAAGCGGACGGTAATTGCAGAACCAATACTGGTTCAATTCTTTTCTGAAATGGCTTCTGAGTTGCCGTCATCAATTTCCGCTGTCTATCATTACAAGCGTGGATATCACTGGGGAGGGGAAATACATATCGAGAAGGTGCAGAAGCCAGAGTAGAGTATTCTCGTGCCAGAGATGTGACTACCTTCTCCGAGGTAGATAACTAAAATGAAATCGGAGCTCAAGATAATCACGTGCATACATTTCAAATTTCAAGGACGCGGTGGGTGGGGTGATGAGATGGGGGTCCCTTTGCAGTCGACATTGTGCCCCGCCAGTACTAGGACAAGCACGAAGTAGTTAATCGCATTCACAAGGCTCTGGTGTCCTTTTGTAACACCAGAGAAATTTGAACCAATCGAAGAGTATCGCAAGCTGCTGATTCACGAGTCAGCCTTGCATGGGCAGTGCGTTCGAAAAATTGGGCATTTCACTTACAACGTTTTGAAGCGTTAACAAGTCCTCTAGTACTTCAATCTCAACCTGGCCTAGGATGATCAGGGCAGCACCGATGGATCTGCGGTCGATGGATCGAGATTGACACTATAATGTCCTGTTCCTTCCGATCCTTGAGGACATGTGTCACAGGTATCAGCATGTTTCTTGGATGTGGACGTCGTCTATACCGAAAATGAGAATTGGCTGAAAATCAGTAGTGAGTCGGGATCGAAGTACATAGATATATCGAAGAAGACTCAAATAATGCTAGTTCGCCTTCATAGCCTAATGGTGGAAAGACTATCATTCCTCCTGCGAGTTCGCTTGAGTCGATTGGCCATCATCGTGGGTGTTTAAGGATGAGGGATGATTTCAACTTCGTCGCTCATATACACCGGCAGCAGTGCCTCGACTCGATGGCGCAGGGATTAGCATGGATGGTGAACTTCAGTCTTCACCTAGGATAGATCATAGCATTGGTTGATACTTTCTGACATCCGTGTTTGTGAAGCAATTCGAACGTCATCCAATTGCTTGAGCCATTGATTTGACGACAATAATCAAGTTGGCATTTATGCTGGGCAGCGCAAGTCACTATAGCTGCTATGTAGTAGTTGGAGCAAAGTTGAGGCGACACAATTATGTAACGTTGCCAACCTTACAAGGCAAACCCCATGACTTACTACTAGTACTAGTCGCGGCTCAGCAAATGAGATGGAGTGGAAACCTGCTCAGTTTGACGTCTCAGGTTACCCTCCAGATCTTGTTCTAACAAACAATCTGGACGTGGATCCTGATTTCGTAGACAACTTCGCTCGTTGTGCCAGGTGGTACGCTTTTCCGTCAGCCACTTTGAGCACCATTCAAATGTCGAAACACTGAAGGTGTGCAGATGGATCCAGCTTCCTCGTCCAGTGCGAAAACCGGTCGTTTCAACTCTTCAATATGTAAGCACCGTTGTTTTCCAAGTCATCTACAATCTCAGATATAGAAATTCTCAAGTCCAAACGTTCAAAGTCAGTCGTGTTGTGCATGATTTAGCTTTTTTTACCAAATCAACTTGAAGGCACACAGCTCTCCGCTCACCATAAGCGCACATTCTCGCAGTCCTCAGCGGTCGTTAATTTTGCTTGGTATCCTGGGGCATCATCCAATAACGCTCCAGCTTACTGTTTCGTCGCTTCTGTGCGTGATTGTCCAGTGAAGCTTCTGGATGCTTCAGATGGAAGGGTAGTGTTCATATACATTTTCGTCAGACTGTTGATTGACCTTGCCAGCTGAGGGCCTCATACCCGATCATCGATCATCGCGAGAGGTTCATCGCTCCTCATAGTCTCGCATTCAACTTGACAGCTGACAAGTGAGCCTGCCATTCAAGTTCCATTTATATTTGATAGTAATCACCATGTGCATCACGCACACCAAGACTATACTGTGGTTTCGAAGATGCCATCGAGATCTTCGACATACAACAACCTGGAGAGGGCGATCGGCTCCCGACCACGCCTTCTAAGAAAAGCAAGGATGGCCTCAAAGGTAAGATGCGATGTTTACTACTCGTATAGATTTTGATCTGATTTCCGAGTCAGGCATCATATCTAGCATAGCTTTCTCCTCTTCTTATGACTATTACGCGATCGGCAGCCTAACGCCTTCCTCACAAGCGATGGATAATATTGCATTGTATTCGGAGTCAAGCCAAGCAGCTATCATGCCTGTAGGAGGCGCAGATTCTCATTCCGGAGTCACGCAGGCATGTCGCCTTAAGAATTAGTAGTAAAGCTGATCTTATTCCTCGCAGCTAAAGTTCAACCCCACAAAACCGCACATTCTATATGCTGCATTTCGTCGACACGATGCTATATATGCATGGGATCTTCGCAGCGATACATCTGTACCTGTAAAAGTCTTCAAGGCAGCCCCTGGTCCTCGCAAAACCCGGACTAATCAAAAAATCGAATTCGACATAGATTACGCTGGAAGATGGTTAAGCGTCGGTGATCAGGTACTTCAATTTCTCAGATCTCTGTCATTCAGGCTTTCTGGCTAACAACCTGGTTGTAGGATGGATGTGTTTCGGTGTTTGACCTTGAAGATTCGGACGAACTGGGTTCTGAACAGTCGCCAGTGATTTCGTCACAGAACATCGCCCCAAAGACGACTTTCAACGCACACGGAGGCAAGTATATCAAACATCCCTATTCATCCCTTTATAACTAATGTTTACGACCGAAGATGTAATTGGCTGCGTGGCATTTCATCCCCTACGCTCTAATCTCCTGTCAATATCGGGCTCACGCCATTTTGATGAGGATATGAGGGAGGGTGATTCTAATAGCTCCGACGAGGATTCAACAGACCAGGAGTCGGATTCTGAGAGCCAGAATATTATCGCAGTGTCAACGCGCCGACCACTTCCATATGTCAAGGACTCTTCTTTGAAGCTGTGGTCATTCGAACCCACGCGGACTGTACAACACGCTTGATTTGATACTTGTTTCGAGGCGCGCGAATACCATTGGACTGGTTTATAGCTCAGTCCCGGTCGTCCGCCGAACAAAGGCGAGATTTCGGTCGGCTTCTGCTTTTGCTAACAGTCGTAAACGATGTCAAAGACATTAATGTAAGAACTTATCGCACCCACTGTACAACACATGTATTCTGACTGGTCTAGAGGAATTACGAATCATGACATGCATTGTTACACAAGGTCTTTTGTACCACGCAGTGATCTTGACGCGTTCACTTGGGGGAGACAGCAGAATGCTAATTTTTATTTCTATTTCGACCTCGAGTTATTCATGACAGTAGTATATCTTGTAGCGATAGAATGTCATAAACATATATTATTATTTCAAGGAATAGCTAGGTTTGTGTCGCAAGTTTATCCTGTAGATTCTATGGGAAAGTTTGGTCGCTACGAGCCTCAAGGGCACTGGCATCTAGGATCTCAATCGAAGTGACAAGGACAGACCAGGCCAAGGAGTGACCGGTAAAAATGTTTGTACGTTTCTTTGATGCAGCAGGCGCTGCAATCCAGCCGAATCATCCAAAGGATGTATGATGAATTTGCAAGATCTAAGAGGTGATTGAGATCGGGAAAATTTGTGGCGAGTGAATTGCTGCAAGTGATTTTGATAAGCAAGGGCGCAACGTTGTCCTTATCACGAAGTGATGTGATTGCACATCCGGATGCTCCGAAGTCTCTTGCAAACGGTGCAGCAGGGGTCTACGGGCAGGGACTACACATTCAGGGTCTCCACGGCGGTTTCCACAGCTGTCAGCATGCAGACAAGATTCCACGATGTTCATACCTTAGCATCACTATCATTGTACTTTGCTTGCCTTACTCTATGCCCACTGTCCCCTGCTCCAACGACACGCTGTAAAGGCTCACTCGCATCCTGGATACATCATAGCGCGAGCCATGAAACAGGTCAAATCACGGAGCGGGTCAAAGTCAGCAAGGAAAGTATAGACAACGCGACATCACCTAGCACGATGTGGCATATACACTTGTGCGACCAGCGGAAGCAGTTACAGGCACCAGTGCATGGTTAAATTACGTCTTGGTAAAACACACCAATTGATGATGCAGCGGCTGAAGAACTGTTGACAGAGTTTGGGACATGGCATCGTGTTGATCTCTGAGCTCGAACCATGCTGATCCAAGTCGTTCCCCACTGTTTGCAGTATGTGAACGTGTCGATCCTTGTTCGAGCAAGAGCCATGCTGATCCACGTCGTTGCCAACTTGCCCATCGTTCGCAGAGAGTAAGTGTGTCAATCCTCGTTCGAGCAAGAGCCATGCTGATCCAAGTTGTTTCCCGCCGTTCGCAGTATGCAAGTGTGTTGGTCCTTGTTCGAGGTGAAGCCATGCTGATCCAAGTCTTTGCCCACCGTTTGCAGGAAGTGAGTCTGTCGATCCTGGTTCGAGCAAGAGTGATGCTGCTCCAAGTCGTTGCCTACCGTTCGTAGGAAGTGAGTGTATTGACCCTCTTTCGAGTAAGACCCATGCTGATCCAAATCTTTGCTCACTGTTAGCAGTCCGTGAGTGTATTGACCCTCTTTCAAGCTGTAGCCATGCTGATCCAAGTCTTTGCCCACTGTTCGCAGTCTGTGAGTGCATCAATCCTCATTCGAGTTCGAGCCATGCTGATCCAAGTCACTACCCACCGTTCACAGGAAGTGAGTGTGTCGATCCTGATCCAAATGATTGCCCACCATTCGCAGGGTATGAGTGTGTCAATCATCGTTCGAGCTCAAACAATGCTGATCAATGTCGTTGCCCCCCATTCGCAAACTGTGAGCGTGCCGATCCTCATCCAAACTCGAGCTGCACTGATCCAAGTCATTGCTCACTGTTTGCAGCCCGTGATTGTGTTAATCCCTCATCGAGCGCGAGCCTTCCTGAATCAAGTTATTGCCCCCGTCCGTTGATAGTAGGACGTGAGCGCATTGCTCTTTTGCTGAGTTTAAGTATTCCCGACCAAAGAAATTGATGATCTATTTGCAGGAGATCAGAACATTGAACCTCTATCGACCTTGAGCGACCGACCGAAGAAATCGTCGATCCGTTGACAACTTGTGAGTAAGTAGGAGATTGTTGGGATGCATGATATTTCGACTGCGTAGGAGACCAACGACAGACACAGCAGGAGGCGACGGACTCAAAGGGGGCCAATGACGAGTGATCCGTCAGATTTCGCAGGTTGCCCTCTACGATACCGTGTCTTTGTCACACCACGTCGCACAACTGGGCCAGCAGTTTACTCCGGCTATCGACATCCTTGGCTTCTCTTGGTGTTCGGCATTCCCGAGTCAGCCGCATCCTGACAGAGGCCAAAGTGCTCGTATGATAAACCGAAAAATGCTTGCTTTTTGCCCGGTACTGGTGGTAGTACCGTTTGCCATTTGGATGCACTCATGGAGGTAGTAGCTTGAAGAAAGGGGTATGCTTAGAAGCGGTTGGGAGAGCTCCAGTTGGAGATCACCGAGGAGCAAAGAATCCAATGACTATTTCCACACTGCCTAGAGGAGAACTCTCATCCTGAGGTAGGCTCCTGAGTGACACCTCGATGCTATAATCCACAGTAGTACGAGAAGAATGAGCAACAAATGCGTCTCTGAACCGCAGTATCAAGTCACGGTTAACGCATCATAATCCTGGACGAAACTTACTCTGAAGGCGCTGTCCACGGTGTCTTTTCACGCGCAACAAATGGGAAAGTCAATAGACGTTTAGTGCCAACAAGGACGTCTGCACTGCGGCCGTGGCGCAGTACTCGTCAGCTTTCTCACATATATCAAGCTGACTAATGACACTAGCACTATCTGAATGAGGCATTATGTCCCTGTAGTTTGAAACCGTATTATCTCTTTCAAACTTCGACTTGAGGAGCGAGAGCAGCGAGCTAAAAGTACTGTTCTATTCATCTGTATCTCGCCTCTGTTCTTGAATCCGACATAGGTGAGTCTTATACCCTCGTCCTCCTGCCGTACACTAGAGTTATCCAACTAAAGCCCTTCAGACGCGTCGAGTTTCAAAGTCATCGGCATTCGTTTGCGCCCGGCTCTTCTTCATCTTCTGTTTATATCCCGCATTTCTTCGTCAGCGTAGATTGTAATTTCTGAGTCCATCCACGTCTGACTCCTAGTTGCAACTTTTTCTTTTGGCAACATATGGTTCAAACAGCGCTATGTTACGCTCCTTATGTTTAGTCCACCCTTTCCCCTCTCCCTCTCCCTCACCAGAACACCCTCCCAGGCTTTGCCCCGCTTTTTACTATTCGTGCATGTTGTCATGAATTGAAATCGAATATGTCAGACCAGAGACCAATTGTCTTGGGGCGTGTGCATGAGGTGCAGGAGCTATAAAGTGTCAGTTTTGCCAACGTCACCAGAAGTGATATAAAGCTTAAGGACGACCCCCGGTGAAGTTCTGCTCCTTCGTATGCTCCTAGACTGACGATTCCCCATGTAATTCCCCCATGCATAGTGTATATACCGGTACCAAGTCTCTCGCGAGCACCCCCACGACTCTGTCACACCACCCTGTACCAACACCCTTTCCAACTTGTTTACACGGAGTCGCCCGTGTTTCTCATTGGTTTCAGTCCGGACATGCCATGGAGTTCGCTAGCTGGCTTGTTTAGAATTGTCATCTAAAGGCCCGACCGGATTTTGGAGTATCAACAAAATGCTCATGACGGTCTCAAAACGAGCGATTCCCGTTTCTGAAACGGGCACGTGTGTCTGATCCTCCCCGCCGACTGTATCTCATTGTTTGAGTGGCTGCGATGCTGACAGTATACATTCATCACAATCACTTCCTGGTAGAACGGGGAAGATGTGAGTGCCATCTGCGTTAACCCCACATGGCACGAGCATTTGAATGGTCGAACGTGAGCTGGAATTGCTATACCATGTCTAATGGATAAAGTCGAGTTTGATTTGAAGGAGCTGAAGGCTAGCTAATTGTCAGGTATGAGTGACCCTCACTTCGTTGTTTAGAGTGGAGGCTCAACACATTCTCAGAAACGGGCCTGATCATGAACGTCAGTTTCTTTTGATGCCAAATACTCGGACATTGCTCCATTCGTTGGCCTGCAACCTCGGTCCTCTACGGAAATTCGGTAATGCTCCCTCGTTCCCAAATTCATACTACGCTTTTCAAAGACATCACGATGGATATGACTGTTTTACTGATTCAACATGGTACTTTTGCAAAACCATACCACAGGAGAAGCCAGATCACGCTTCCTTACTCCTGTACGCATCTTTCCTCTAACTGCTCGGAGCGCTGAATATTTAAATATCCATCAGATCTTCAATCGCGCGGTAACCCAGTTTGGTACTTCTGTCCAGAACAGTTCAGAGTTCATGCACGGCATTACAACAAGACGCAGGATTGTATATCATTTTGGGACATCTGGCGCCCCACGGCCGTTTACGTGGAGGCCAAACTGCAAATCGGAAGTGATGAAAATCGTTTGAATGCCGTTGCCCTAGTGATGACGGAATGTGACGGTCAGGCATTCCTTTAACATAGGAGTTCTCATCATGTTGTCGAACCCACAGCTTGCGACTGGAGCAACATGCAAGTCAATATTTTTATGTCGATCTACAGCATGCTCTGCGACAGAAGCAGTTCTTCATTTTTGATGGCAGTACCAAGCCATACAAGTTATCGATAGGTGCTGTTCGAGGAAGTCGCTTCCGTGTAGCGGGAGGACTTGCACTTGATGGTTTCTCGTCAAAACTCACTGCGCGTCCTTTCATCCATGGTCTATGCCCGAGACTATATTCAACTTGCCGTTATCACGAGCTTGAAGGTGTTTCATTATCAATCGCTGCCTGCATCCAGAGATTGGAAAAGGAAGAGTTTAGATGGCTGCGACTCTAATCAAGCGCCCAAGTCGACTGAGGAGGCGTTGGAAAAGTCCCAGGCTGCGGAGATCCAGGTATAATTTTGGTCAGATTTTTTGATTTTCCCTACAAGCTAACCTATCAATAGTGCAGAAGCGGTACCGATTGTCTCGACACACTTCTGATTGATGCCTGGGATCACGGCGAGGTTACGGAAGTGTAACGTTCATGGCCCTTTGCAGTAGCTGGAAACGCCTTCAACGGTTGAGCTCGAATTACTGAATCGTTCTTCCAAGCTGGGTAAGCTACAATGCAAATGCATCGTTGGCACGACTACTATCAAAATAGCGTTACGACTGAATTGCACGAGTCTGAGACTCGTCATGCTCACGTCCCGGCGCCATTGTTGACAAGCAGTCAGGGTATTCTGACAGAGGCTGCAACATATAACGGCAGGTTCCATGTGTATCGCGTTAATATTGATCGTGTTGAGTGAATTTCGCCATTCCCCGAACTTCACACCGCCTCGACCCCAGACCACATGCAGCTTGCCCGTCACGCATATAAGGCTTAGTCGATTCCCTTCTCGGCCAAGTCCAATATTGCCATTTTTATCGGTGATTTAAGTTCAGGAGTCTCTTTGCTCTTGCCAGCTTTGCCTCAAGCTAACCTCGAGCTTCAAACCTTCAGATAAGTCATAAATGTTGCTGTATCTCACAAAGCGTCATATAGAAGACGAAGTACAAATCTCCGTTATGTCACATCCGAGTCGGTCGGCAACCTGAGGTAACCGTGACGAACCTCGCTCTAGGCGGTCCATGGCCAGGCCTGTTTAGGGTCCAAGAGCGAAACTGTCGTTCGTCATGTCAAGGGTAAAACGCTCGACGCAAGGGGTATAGACTGGTCACGGTAAATTGTCAAGGATTTTCCCCTTACGGCCCCATTATATGACGCGCAGCTGTCCCCCATTGTCAAAAGCTAATCTGCCACATTGTATTTAGTCTCAGGGGATACTACACGATACTTTCGGATTCCATGACTACACCAACCATCCCCTTCGAGGTCACACCTGCACGGTGCAAGGTACGTCAATCGACTTTATACTGACTTAATCCTCACAAAGTGCAGGACACGCGCCAGCTACATAGCTTTGACTTCCCTACCACGCTCCCGGATGTGTCTTATCCTACGGTTCCTACCCATTCGCAGAAACCTAGACCACTGTTGTTCTGGTTCGGTTATCCCATCGACTTTGGGAAGCTCGAAGCCTTCGTGAAAGAACAGAGCCCTCTCTACCCTGATCTCTCTCACGATCGCACTCGCAGCGAGGGGATCGATCACGCCTGGAATCGCATCTTCATTATCGGCGTCATCCGCAAGATCTTCGGGGAGTCGACCCGACTGACGCCCGTGTATGGCCGCAAGGAGGGAAAGCCGATTATAGTGATGTCTTTCTACTGCAACTTTGACCCAGGGAGAGTGGTGCATGAGAATGAGAAAGCGTTTGCGCTTAAGTTCACTAGTTTGGAAGGGGAACCGAGATGGTATCTTGACTGGCGCCGCAATCCAGTTCCTGATCCCCTGGATGTCTAGGTGCGTCAAGGTGAATCGTTATCCTTGCCGACGGTTGACTTTACTTGGATGTATTCTACCCAGAAACCCACTATATGACGTTCATGTCTCACGTTCACCGTGAATGACTACCAAGTAGGTTCCAGGCTATAGCGCTAGGTACTAGCATGTATGATAAGAGTTGGTCACAATGAATTTGATGTATTTTGAGATAGCGTGCTAGCGCGCGAATAACTTATATATTGCATTTTTGTTGCGCGATACCAGTTAATAGGGCATACGATCTCAACAACTAGAAAATCGATCACTACAAGAGCCAACTACGTAGGATAGGGTGAACTGTGGAGTACATATTTCGAAGGAGTGTGTTTATGTAAATGAAATGTCCGGTCGATTGCCTACAATAATTTTGACCGCCCATGAAATCGGGAACATAAGGGAATAGTCCATAATGAACTGAGGGAGAAATTAGTAGAGTATCATGACGCCCCCAATCAATGCAGCTCCCACAGCCACACTAATGGCTGTGACCTGGTTCCTGATGCCGGACCATCCCGGGTGTGGAACGCCATTCGTGGAAGGTCCGAATGTCTGCGCAAACTGAGAGAGAGGGTTGGGTACCCCACTAACGGTAACTGTTGGGGCTGAAGCGGGGCTTGGGTTGCTCCCTGTGGCATTGGCGTCTACAACTGAGAAACGAGAGGAAACAGAGTAGGTAACGCCAGCGGTGGAGTTGATACAAATAAGAAAATAGTCGTCGCCTGCTGGTACATCTTGGAGAACAACATTGAGGCTACTCATAGTAACCGGCACTGTTTAAAACGGTCAAAGTTGCCCTGGGTAGAACTAGTATGAAAGCTTACGTTCTTTTGCTACAAAATAGATCCCACCTCGACTAAGCCGGGTTATCTCAATATCGAAGGTGTCAAAGCCATCCTGCAAGCCAAGCGTCCATGAGACCGGATAAGGGGAACCGTTTTTCCAGGATGTAGATGATCCAGGCTGGTTCACTATAAAATCTGACGCCCAGTCCGGTTTTCTGTGAGTACCGATCGCGGTGACGAGAAGCCTGGTAACACTCACATGCATCAACCGAGATAAGTGATGAGAGCAATAACACTAAAATGAATGCAACAGATTGCCAAGAGCGAAGTAAACCTAAGAGAAGCATCTGATTTTGATTGTAGCTGGCGGCGGGTGGACGAACTGGGCGAGGTACTGAACGAGTGCGGTAAGAGTGCGGAGTAACGAGGACAGAAGGTTGACGGAAGGGGTTATCCGTATGCTTGGTGTTGGCCTCATGTCACCATTATTAATAGTCACGCACCAGATCGACCACAATTAGGAGCATAACTACGCCCAGATAATATCTCTTAATATCGATCGTATATACCTACGAACCAGCTACGTCAGTTTAGAGATTCCGGGAGTTGCTCAGAGCATGTTGCACGTAACGGCACCTCGGCCAGTTTCAAAGAGCGATGCGGCAACACACTCGGCACTGCGATGGGCTCAACTGAAGCGATTGGCGGTGTGAATTCACCGTCCCCATGAACTGGCATGTGAGTTCGCATCAAGCTGGAGGCCTAGAGCTGAACGTGAACGCTGAGGCCGAGGCCTGGGGGGTATCTGAGTAACGTTAAAGGTCCGACTGGACTGTCACATATACGGGGATCAGGGGTTTATTGTTTCCCACGATGATATCAGCTGCAGGCCCATCATATGTACCATCGCATTGGCACCCTGCCACCAAGTAAACCACCTGCCCACTCTTTACCAAACCACTTGTTGGCAGATATCCGGTTCGCCATATTTCATCATCTCTGTTGCCACCTTCAAATCCTTTGTTTCGTTATCCTCAGGAACATGGCGCTGCGAGCCTTGTGAGCGGTGTTAGTGGTGCACAATAACCCAGCTTCAAGCGCTACAGATTCCAGAACAAGCTTCCTAGCGACGTACCCTGCTTCTCCACCCATCAAGAAGGCTGCAGTTAAAAGTGAGTCTGAATAGCCCTGATTCACCCAAATTCACGTACAATTCTTCAAATTTACGGCAACCGACACTGGTGAATCTGAAAACCTCTGGGCCCAATGTGAATCTACATCGTAAATGTCAGACCATCCGAAATTTGTCGTCCACTAATATTATTTCGTTGCAGACACCAGCATACCAGTGCGCAGGCACCGGCATGAAGTTACATGCAGTATCTTGCAAGGTACTATCTCAAGCCGTTGATCGCGGTCCGATGACCTCGCGATGCGTGAGGATCAAAGAAGCATTGGCCAGGTCGGAGTACCTTGATGTGTCGCATGGTCTGGATCGCACTTCGTGCCTACAATCGACAACCGAATGTTCCTGCAGCTCCGGCGCTTTGCCATGAGCTGCTGACCTGGCGTAAATCTCAGTGCCATTCATTGCGTCCTGCTTACCCCCTGTGGCTGGCTCATCTGAGTTTCCGCTAACTGACTCTGACACTCTCCACCGGCTCCACCCGCGTAATTCCGATAAGCCTCCCTCTATAAATTCTCCTATACCATTTCATGCTTCTTGTGTATCACCATTCACTTTCAAAGTGCTCCTTCATGGCTTGCATAGTTGAACATGCCCACGCGTTTTGAATCAAGACTAGAACTCAACTTGATCCCTTCCTAAATCATCAAAGGCCAAGGGGCGAGGTGGATGTCCAAGCGTACTACGGCCGTACGATTTATATATGGAGCATAACATACTCGATCCATGGGAAAATTGAAGGGTGAATTTTCATGTATGAACACGCACCTATAGAGAAATCGATGGGATTGGATGATAAATCGATAGCGCATCGCGAAGTTTCACTGGCAAGGGAGGCTCAGGCTCCCGAATTGTTCGGCGTCAAAGGGAACCAGGCTCAGTCATGATGCATGAGCGCTTGAGTTGCCAATGTGAGAATTCTATCTTCTGAATGTTCCGAGTCACTGACATAAAGCCTGACACATGTTGGTAGCACAGGAAGACCAGTATTTTGCAGAGCAACGTTCAATGCTATGCACAACTCGAACGTTGAAAACCCTGACGCGGCGGCCTGTCACAGGATTTGATTTAGAGACGTTAAATGGTTCTGTTAATTTACCGCCGACATGGCCAATTGCGTAAGAACAAAAAGCTAGAACGGCACGAGAACCAAACTTATGTAACTATTCCCCTCTTTCATAATTGCTCTGTGCATAATACGCTGACACACAATACTCCGTCTTGGAGTGCGATGATCAAGAATTTGTGGTCGATTAATGTCAAGCTGCTGCACGAAACACATGAATGCAGTTTGCGACGGTACATCAGATCAACACCTGTGTGTTACTGTCCAATCACGCTCTACGTTCTGATTCATTTTCAATTGTTACGGCATTCCATCGACGGATGAATGGATTTAGGTTAGCGCTGTACCACCTGGAAGACGACCGACTCGGAGTCTTTGGTGTATGCGCAATCATACCATGTCGCGTCCATGTACTCACTGTTCCCCCCAGCACATCAGGAACCTGTATTCTACTCATTGTTACTCACCACAGCAAACGTTCGACAGCCCTCCTTCACCCGAAGAATCTATCCATGCGTCATGGTCGTGCTGGAAGAATCTGATTGACGCCAAAGTGGAAGCGAACAGGCTCATCATTTCTGCGCTCGTAACGCGTATGCCGTGTTGTGCCATACGCAACCCACCTTGCGAATAATGTTATAAACTTAAGTTCGGGTGAGTAGTAGCTCCCTGCTACCTCCGTTCATCCTGAGCAGCAGTTGCCATGCGCCTCTTTCTATTCTTTTGGCTTGTAACTTCCATCTATTCATGTTTGGCTGCAGCTCCCCCAAGGGCGATCGCCAAGAGAGGTAGCAGCTCATTCGTGAGCTCTAGTTCAGCTGGATTTTCTGTCAACGGAAGGTAACAGCGATTTTTTTCATGCGTATACGATATGTGCAAACGCATTGCATCATAGTTCACTTAGATTCGTTGGCACCAACTTGTACTGGCTGCCGACGTTGGATTCGAACGATGATATATGGAATATGCTGAAAAACATTTCTGATACCGGTATCAAGGTCATTAGGATTTGGGCATTTAACGGTTCGTTCATCGTCTGTATACCTAGGTTTGCGATTCAGCGTCCTGATTAACAGATGTGGACACCATTCCTGAGAATGGAACGTGGTTTCAGTTGGTACAGAACGGTACTACCACAATCAACGACGGACCAAATGGACTACAGAAACTTGATACTGTGATCCAAATGGCAGAACAACAAGGGCTATACGTCATAATGTCACTAACGAATAATTGGTATCCATTTGTTAACTCGACAGCAACAAGCACTCCATCACCCGATGTGCTTGCGACTGTCACTTCTCCGCCGCGTAATACTCTTTCAAACGACTATGGTAAGTCAGCACCGCATTTGATGTTAATCTTGTAAAAATCGACGTTCTTTCAGGTGGTATGGATCTATATGTCAACCAGTTCGGACTTCAGAACCACGACGCATTCTACACGAACAACGAAATATTGACCGCCTTCCAGAATTACACCAAGCAGATCGTATCACGCTATCTCAACAGCCCTGCTGTATTTAGCTGGGAGCTTGCGAATGACGCTAGGTAAATCACTCCATGTATCCACTCTAGAACATGTCCCTCATCATGTGTCAGATGCAACGGGACCTTGCCCACTAGTCCAACATGTACAACACAAACAATCACACAGTGGCACGCTCAGATGGCTGCATTCATCGCGTCCATTGATTCCAACCACATTGTCTCTGCTGGGTAAGTATCATACAATACCGCTTTAGGGTCGTGGTTCTAATTTTACGTAGAACATCTGGATTTCAATGCACAGATTGTCCGAAGTTGTATCCCATTACACCAACAGCTTCGCCTACGCCCTCTCCCGCACCTGGCAAGAAGCGCAACAAAGTCACTCCTTTGACAAAAGAGCAGGTCATAAGGCAGCGCGCTGAGTCGAGACGCCAAAACAGGGCAGCCGCTAAGCGTGCAGGCACCTTGAAGGAAGACGGCGTAAGGATAAGGGGTCGTTGGGTATCTACAGGTATTTCTGTCTATGTCATCGAAATGTGATGTTTCTTATCATTTTTCAGCAACGCGAGAAGTCTCCAGCTCGATCGGCCCCACGACGGATGGTTCAACTGGCGTCGACAGCCAGGACATCCTTAACATCCCCAACATAGGCTTCGGTTCCTTCCAAGTATTTCCCGACCAGAACTCGTACGCTCCCGATGATCCAAACCTTAGCCCCGTCCAAAACAAGATCCAGTCGAGTCTTACGTGGATCCAGCAATCGGCTCAGTCTGCTGCTGCGTGGGTTGAAGTCTAGCCCAGCCGATTATTAACTTACGTTTCTTCCAGCGTTGGGAAGCCTGTTGTCCTCAATGGATTCGGTCTCGTTACCCAATCCAATCTGAACGACTTCGTCCCCTTCAACATGACTTATGCTCCTTACGCATCCGATACAGGTAATATTGTCGTAGTTCGACGGTCGACGACCATATACTGATGTTCTTGTTTCTACAGCGGTCGTCACTGCGAGGTCAGGTTTTGCCGGTAGCAAGCGACAGAGCTCATCATCAGACTACGCCGATGACAGTGACCAAGAATCAGGTTACAGCTCGTTTTTGCAGAGTGCGTGAATACAAAAGTGACAATGTTCGATCATACTGAGCTTTATTGCAGTGGGCAACAGCGCTGGATTAGCAGGCGTCATGCAATACCAGGTCAATACTTCCTTTCGTTGTGATGCATTTGATTGACGCTCGTTATAGTGGGGCTCAACCGGCGTTACCCAAACAAGCAGTACCATCCAGTTAGACGAGTTAGACACAACCAACTCCCCAGCATCAGGGGCGACACTAGTTGCTTCGCCTAACGATGGTTACTCCATGTACGTGCTACATTATGGCATCAATAGACACCCTGGCTCACTGAACGTTATAGTGCTAATAACCCAGCCATTCAACAAATCCTGCAGCAGGGCGCGCAGGCAATGGCTCAGAATTCATGAGGATTGTTGATTCTTCTTCGGTTCCTTTTCTCCAGAGACGCTGTTTTTATATATATCATGATTCTCAAGAGTTATACGTGGCACAGACAATGGTAGAGCGGGACCGTATGTTTCCCGCATTTGATACGTGCGTCGGGGCAGGTTCCATACCTTCCTGAATTCGGACCATTTCAGATACTGTGTTGGTAGTACATGCTAAGTACGTTTATGAAGTGTTGTAATATAGTGGGTGAATCAACAAACGAGAGCCATAGCCATAGTTTGTGCGCGTAATAAATTTGAGTTAATATCTATCGAGGGACTGCAGTAAGTTGGTACCAGCCCGAATTGACGGAAAAATTAAGTCTTGGTCAATGTAGCATAATAATCCTGGAGACTAGACGTGACTTCCGGATACTTGTTTGGCCTCTTCAGCTTCTCCATCACCAGACCGACATGCTTGCGAATCTCCCTAGTGTCGGCTGCTGAAATATCTTTCTGTTCCGCGCACTTGATAATAGCCGGGAAAGCGGCGATGCTTTCGACTTCATGATAAAGCTTCAAGTCCAATGCAGCCTGCCAGGCTGACTTGACAAGGGACGGGAACTGGTCGGCTGTAACTGCCTCAAACGTAGTTTCAGCCGCGTCTGGATTCGAAGAACGAACTCGCCCGAATATTGCAGCGAGATGGAAGGGGGCGGGCGACTCGGAGTTCTCCTCGAGGTTGTTTAAGATGTAAATGCAGTGTCCGATATGTCGATCGGTAACTAGGCGTTTACACCACTCCGTGTTAGAAGTAAGAGTCATGATGAGCCGTAGGTAAGCATCATCTCGCCAATAGTTGAAGTTGACATCGAGTTCGTCATCTTCGTGACGATCAGCAGGACGAACAGGACAAATGGAGGTTAGAAGAGCAGGGGAAAATTCGGTGAGGAGTTTCTGGCGTATATTCTCGTCCTGTATGGCATCAAGGTCGGCGAGTGCCAGTCGAGAGTCCGAAACAGCACGTAAAGCTGCGTAGCGAAGGCGACGAGGGCTGGATGATTCCATGGCGGATATGAGCGCGCTTAGGTAAGCAGATTCTCGAGTACCGAGTCCCTTCATAGCGCTCAGCACTAATAAAGCATCTCCCATTGCTGTGGGATCCTGGGAGCAGGACGCGAGGTAGTCGACCAGCCAATCGAAATCAGCTGCCGTACGACGATCGTTGGTCCACGTGAATTGACCACGCCAAATGATGGAGTCGTGATCTGGATGGACGAATCCGTCCCCAGCAGCAGCAATCATCATGCGCAATGCAGTGCGTGCGTCTGCCCGACATTTTCCCCTCTCCCGGCCGGACAACTTGAACCTTGGCAGTTGGCAGGCAAAGGCCTTGCACTGGTCAAAGCTTCGTGGAAGAATGACGCTGCGCCACGGATGCCAAATTTTCGACTGCTGGGAAGCAGTTCGGGTATTGGAATCATCTCCAATTGGCAGAACACTCAGACATAAATGGTTCAAAGCTCGCCCACAGGAGACCGCTCTATCTTCTGTTGAGGGCCGGAGTCGCCCTTCAGCGTCGAAACAGGCTAAAAATGTATCTCGAAGCCGCTGACAGTAAGACACGATGTCTGAGTTCGGTGGCCATGTAATGGTAGGAATGAGTGATGCTGCGCTTGTAATGTCGTCTGGATCTGTGGATGTTGCAAGAACCCAGCATATGGCAGATTCTGTTCCGATGTCGCTGCCAGTGGAGGGCTTGACACTGAATAGTCGTTGTAGGAGTCTCGAGATGGATGCTCTGATGCCGCGGATGCAAGAGCGAAGGCTTGCGCCCAGTGTGCGTAGGTCGTTGTCGTTCTTTTTAATGACCATGCTTGCTGCCCACATGAAGGCACCAGTCATGCGAAATACGAAAGTAGCTGGCGTTTGGAAGGGACAATCTGGTGATAAAAGGGATGCAAAGAGGGTGCACCAATGGAACAGGCAACCGAGCACCGTGGTCGCAATGATGATGGATGTGATGGTCCGCTGTTGCGTCCACACGTACGCGGAGAGGGAAATGCCGAATAGCAATAATGAAATTTCCAAAAGGACCGGAAACGTTTGCAGCACAGCATCCAAATGCCACGCTTTGAGGCTGTCAAATTTTTGTTGTCTGTTCTTGCCCTGCTCCTCGAGGGATCCACACCCGAACCGTTTAAGCTTGTAGATGCGGAGCCATTGTTTGCCCAAAACAGCGCCGAATGCTGCAAGAAGGCTGAATGAAAGGCTGGCATAAGCTAGTGTCTGAAACCATATTTGCCCGTTGGAATATGCAGGTGGTACGGGAAGCGGATAAGTATCTGTGATAGGGGTTCCATGGCTGTTCATTACCATCAGCGTGATGATTTGCGTCAATAAAGCATCTGTGGTAGTAGCGTCGCTAGGCTCCATAGTGGCGATGAACGCCGTATTCACTGCGGAAAATAGGCCAGACTAAAGACTAGTCATCACCATGTTGTTAACGCACGAGTTTACGACTTACAAAGATCAAGACGATATCCATGTCACCACCATATTGCTCCAAAAACTCGTCGTCGTGTTGTGATGCGACCTTTTGATATACCGTCCAGAATCTCGATCGCTCATCCTTTGCTCCCTTTCCCACAATGTTGGAACTTCGAAGAGTGTTGAGGATTTGCTGCAATAATCTAAGCAAGTTTTCAGCACGAGCACCGGAGAGTACAGGTCAAATTACTTACTGCTCAGATGACTTATCGCTAAGAGAGTCAGAGAGTCCAATTGCATCACTATCGAGCGTGGACTGGGCACTTGGCGGGGTGAACGTTGCATGCCGTGCAGCAAGGGACTCAGATGATAGACTTCGAGCTCTAAGTTCAATTTCAGATGTGTTACAGGTATGTGGAACGTGGACACTTACGGTCGATATGTGCTATCTGCTTGAGGATAACGCATGTCATTTGGTTCTCTGTATCTCGGTCAGCTGTAGCGACATCGTGGAAGCAGGTGAACCATACTGAAAGTAAGCGGCCCTACGGACGCTCTTGTCAGGAACGAAAGCACTAGTGTCCATTGAATGACGACGGAAATTGTTGCATTCGTATTGGCGTTCGGTCTTTTGAAGTGGTCCAAGGCTGCGTCCCCCACTTTCAAATGCAGTAGCCTCATTGTCGACAACATCAAGGCGTAAACGAGGCACACCACAGTCCACCAGGGTCATCCAGTGTATGAGATATGACGATGGCGCTCCGATGAACAAGGTCATTCTTACGAATTGACGCCTGCTGAGTTTTGTCGCTACCGACATGCGGTGATCAGGACGATCTGCGGCTTGCCTAGTGCAATCAGCGCTGAAAATAGAAGCTGTGGTGAACATGAAAACAGCATGGTATGAGCATTGTACACCCTACATTTGACGCCTTAAATTCGAATTGGCAGTAATGTACCGGCATATCACAAGCTTAATGCCACAGCAAGATCATCGAAGTCGCAAGGCAGCCTCATTAAATTGGCGCGAGTCAATGGGAACCCCCTGTCCTTGCGTAGGACGACAAGTACGCAATCTACTGCGATAGTTAGGCTGCCACTTTATCGATGCAGCTGGCACGAGCGACATCATTGATAGCGCCCACCCAGCCTCGTTGTCTGTCCACGCATTTCGAGAATGAGTCGTGATTTCCAAACTTGTCTTGCCATTGCCTAATAGTCATTCGTGAGAGTTTGTGCACGGCGTGGAGTTTCCAAGCACCGTAGACCAAGAGCAGACGAGCACAGCGACACTCCTTTCAATGCGACTTATCATATGCTATTCCTCAGATTTTGCGCCTACAGAAAGTTATCCGATGAGCAGAATGTTAAGAGGGTAAACCATTGGAAAAGTACATCCAACGTCTTTGTTTTTGAGACACGCCTCGTGTTTACTATACCAGATGCCATATTGCATCTTCGCACCCGAGGAACTCCAACCACACTGCCGAGTGGTACTTTATCATTCGATATGGCCATTGCTCCATCTCTATCGACCCATCACTGTCTAGGCGGATAACACTCCAGACATTGTCGTCGATACGCACAAGCCGCACGTTGGAAAAGCCCTGGTCAATCACGTTGATGACGGAGCGTATCGGAAAGTTTGTCATACCAATGAACGTGAGAAGGGGAGGGACTCCCGGACGCAATTGCTATAATAGAATACATCAGTTCTACTCTTCTTTTCAATGACGAGCGCCATCGACTCACGTTTATGAAAAGGAGAAGGTCCTCTGCAGGCAGTACCATAATATCCATGGTGAGCGCACGAACACTCCGCGGAATAAGCCACCTTGCTAGCGAAGGAGAAAGATCTCTAGGATACGTGATATAGAGACTGCGGAGGTTCGTTAGAGAAGGTAGTACACCCCAAGCAGACGCGTCAAAACCAATGCGACGATGGTCTCCGCTAGGTACGATGAGGTGGAAAGAATGAAGATGCTTGCGATCTCTCAAGAATTCCGAGATAGCAGGCACGAGGTCCCTGTCTGTGACATGTCGATGCAGACTGATAAACTTGAGAGCAAAATGCATCAGAAACGGAAGCGAAGACCTATGCAGGCGGAACGTTGCTGATGGAGTACATTCCAGAATACCTGAAAATGTTAGTGACTGTAGTTGGTGGCCGGCAGACAAGATCTCTGAGAAGACCTGGCTGTCTACGGAAAAACAGCCCTCAAACTCGATGATCGTTAAGTAACGGACAGAGATGGCATCTGTTGGGAATTTGCAGTTTGCATTCTTGATGGACAGCGAGCGCAGGTTGTCACGATTCTGTGATATAAAGTCGTGGGTAGATGTGCTGTTCCCTCCTTCAGCTGTGATGGAGAAATGTGTAATGTGCTTGAATGGTGGGATATTAATATCCCCTGAACGATTAACAAGACTGCGGAACGTGAACATGCAGGCCGTTTTTGGGCGAGAGGAAGTATGAGACGACGTACTTGATGGACAGGCTGTAAAGACGATGGTTTGTGGCACACAGTGTTTCAAGCATGCGATTGATTAATACACTGTTGCCTGAACAAATGCGCACTGCGAAGGTTGCAGAGCTTAGGCAAAGAGTTAATTAACATTCCTAGGGAGGATTGAGACACAGTAACGCTAAATAATGAGTACAAACCAGCCTGAAACGCCAATGTATGTGACGTGTCTGAAACAGCATATACGATTAAGTTTCTGACCTGCGAGGCAAAGACAGGATCGACGAGAATGCGGGTAAGAATGTCTGCACTTCGCTGGCAGTGCCAGGCGTCGAGTTCCTGTTCTTCCTGGCTGACATTGACATCCCTGTATCTGTTCTCGGCTCTCGGGGGGTCCGGCGATGCTGTGAAATGAAGATCGGTCTCGCGGAAGATAAGCTGACTTGCGATGCGAGAGAGTGCATGTGGGACCAGTAAAAGAGACTTGAGATCACGTTTGGGAAGACACAGAGCAATTTCTCTCCAAACTTCGCCAGAAAAACGAGGCAGACCGTCAGGTTCCCTGATAAGCTTGATATTATTTGGTAAAGAAAAGGGTTGCACAAGTTACCATTTCTTGTCGTAAATGCTCAGATTGTATTATGGCTTTGACATCTTGATTTGCGGGATCTGAACCTAACACGGACATCAGATCTGAAAGATAGTGATATCAGCACACTGACGGGATCCAAGGACATGCATGAAATTGACCTTGTTGTGCAGAAGTTCGGTACCCAGCTGCTAAACGGGTTTTGGCACGTAACAAAAGAGATCTGCTGGTGGAACGCCTGAGACTTGGAGAAAGGACTGAATAGCATTTTCCATGACAATTCGGAAGCTTTGTGATACACAACGATTTAGATTTTATTTTATAAACAAAGTAATTGGACGAACGTACCCTTCGGACGGCAAATGCTGCAAAGCGTGGAGGAGAACATCAGCCTTTTTAACGTCAGACAGACACCCCGTCACATCGCGGATGCTGGCATCAAGAATGTGAGGATTGAAAACATTCATGAGGCAATTCCCTGGGACTACTGGTTGCTCCGTTGGTGTGAGGTGAAAATGGGGGGATTAAATGCGTTCCAAAGGACTTTGTATGGTGAATATGTTATACGGTCATTTTCTTGATTCCAGAACCATGTATATCATCGCACGATGGCAGAGACCGGAAAATTGGTCATGGCAAGGGGGACCGTTTTACCCCTTGCCATGGCGAAGCTGCCCTGATGTGGCGCCGCGGTCACGTGGTGTGGCTGCTTGGCTTTATTGCTCACTGCGGTCACCGCTCAAGATACTATTACTCTTGTTCTCAACGTCAGATGTACATACTCAACTGCATTGTCTTGGGCCATGGTCCTAGTCATACATTTGAGATCAAGATTGAACCAACAGAGAGTGTCAGCGCCCTCCGAAAGGCTATCAAGGACGCGAAGAAGCCACATTTTGACCATGTTGCTGCTGACGATCTTGCGCTATGGAGGGTGAGTGATCTGATGCCTACGATTGGATGCTGATGATCTGATACTTTGAAAGGTCGACCTGCCTGCCGACGAGGCGCCCAAAAACCATACACTTGATCCAAAGCAAAGCCTGTCAGCTGTGGCTAAATTGTCCAAATTTTTCTCTGAACAACCCAACGAAGAACACCTGCATATCGTTGTCCAAGGCCCACCTGCCGGTGAGTTGTCTTTCGATATTGCCATCCTTTCCTCCCTACTGACCGCGGTCTGACTTAGTGTCTTCTGGACCGCTCCACCTCCGACTCAACTGCATTGTCTTGGGCCATGGTCCTAGTCATACATTTGAGATCAAGATTGCACCAACAGAGAGTGTCAGCGCCCTCCGAAAGGCTATCAAGGATGCGAAGAAGCCGCATTTCGACCATGTTGCTGCTGACGATCTTGCGCTATGGAGGGTGAGTGATCTGATGCCTACGATTGGATGCTGATGATCTGATACTTTGAAAGGTCGACCTGCCTGCCGACGAGGCGCCCAAAAACCATACACTTGATCCAAAGCAAAGCCTGTCAGCTGTGGCTAAATTGTCCAAATTTTTCTCTGAACAACCCAACGAAGAACACCTGCATATCGTTGTCCAACCGCAGCATACCGGTAAGTTGTTTGTCAGTTTGCCACGCATTCCTTGAAAACTGATCTACATCGCGTCTGGTTATTAGTTCCTGTAGTGCCACGCATTCCACTTGTTGATACACGGTTGGCTTATCTCAAGAAGGCCTCAGGTGCTCCGTCAGCTGATGCAAAACCGGCCTCATTCGCTGCAACACAGGATAAGGAAGAGTACCTTTGCAATCGTCCTCGCAGGGCCGCGGACTCTCTTCCAGTTACTCTTCTCGAGCCTATCTTTGGCGAATTTGTGGATGATTGCCAAAATTATCAACCAACTGACTACGATAACGACTTTGTTTGGAAACTTTCGGAAAATATGTCCTCCTTCCATCCCGATGAGCTCACGCGCATGAATGTATTCAGGCATCTGCTCCGCGGCTACGGTATCATACTCCATTCCTCTGCGATTGGCTCGACAAAATATACGACTGACGGACATCTTTTGTCCGCCGACGGAAATTTTGTGCAGGTGATATTGGAGGGGAAAAATGAGATCAGAAGCCGCGGTGCCGAACCATTCGCGGAGTCAATATTGTACTACCACAAGATTCTAAAAGAGTCGAACGCCGGAATAGAGAAGTTTCGGTCTGTACTTCCATGCATCCATATCATTGTCTTCGGTTAGTTCATTTCATCAGATTCGTTGCTAAAGCCCTTTATTGACCACAACTAGGGGCATGCATTGGCTTTGCTGGCTCTGTTTTCATCGAAAAAGTCCAATGTGATGTCCTGGCCCCTATCATTCCTCTGTTTTGGCATTCAACGGACCTCCGTATGCAAGAGATGGCAGCTCGAACTTTCGGAGCTCTCAAAATTGCCATCGAGAAACTCACAAAGCTGTACTCGAGTCCAATTATCCATCTCAAAGCTGAAGATTCTCTACGACATCCCTATCCTCAGACATATACCTCTTCAAGCGGTCACATTCAGGAATTCTCGTATGACAAGACTCAGATGTTCAGGGATCGACGTATCTTCTTTGGGAAAACCGTCAATGACGCAGCTGAGAGCAAGATATGTATCAAGTTCGTCAGACACTATTCCCCTGAGGCCCACAGATTCTGTGCCAGCAAGGGGCACGCTCCGGATCTTATCGCCTACGAACCTTTAGCCGGCGGCTGGAAAATGGTGATTATGGATGTGCTTGATATTGATGAGGGTCTCCTCGCGCAACGGCCTGGCTCATATCGACCGCTGAGCGCGATGGCTGTTTCGGAACGCCTGCCACTGAAGGAGGCCATCACGTGTCTTATCGAGGATTTACACAGATACAACGGCGGCTACGTTCATGGCGACCTTCGGGATACCAATTTCGTTGTGGGAGACGACAATCAATTCATGCTGTTCGATTTCGATTGGGCTGGACCGATCGAGAAGGCCCGTTATCCTATGCATGTTAATCGGACAGATATTCGACGTCCTGAAGGCGCGTGTGATGGGAAGAAGATTGTGGCGAAGCATGACTTGGAAATGCTGAAGTATCTGTTTCCTGAGCAAGATGGTCGGGAGCCAGTTAGGAAGCGCCCTCGTCTTTCTACTGGTGAAGGGTCGTCAATTTGATCCATTTGTGTTAGATGTACAACATTGACCGGTATTCCTTTCTTTCATTCGTCATCACGGACTCTGTAGTGTACTTCATAATCTCATTGTATCACACTGTTTGCACCTAAGCGATTCTTTCCACAGCGCTGAGGTACAGTTCACATTTACTTTGCACGCTGTCTCTCACTTGCATTGTTTCGTCTCTAGACATGTCTCTTAGGTTCTACTTTTTACAATTTGATTCGCTCATAATTCGTTGTACAATACCAGTTTGTTTTGTTTTCATAAAGCTATCTTATATGACACTCCAGATGCCACTTTTAATAAATTGCACGACACAACACTGAGCGCGTGACAACGCTACTTCATCCAATCTTCAGTGCATTTATAGATGACTGAAAATCATAGAAGCAGTCTGAGTTGAGATCACATGCTCGAAATAGGTTTAGTAGATCGTACCAAGTGCGTGGTTTGAATGACAGTATTAAGATACAGCAGCGGAGATTGAGTCCCAGTAAGAACTGGTTATGACGGGAGAGGACTGTATGTGTTGAGACATGAATTACCGTATTAGTACTCTGTCAGGGTGTGCTCCTTTCTGATCTTTTCGTCATTTATTACCTTTGCAAAGTTCGCATTGCATAACATCTTCGCATCAAGCTATGTAATAGCACAAACTCCGTATTGCAAAGCGCAAACTGCACTCCCCACCATATTCCCACCTCTGAGTCAAAGGTCTCGCCATTCTCCTCCATTGGTTCTGCCCTGTGAGTGTCTCATATGTCGCTTATCTGACGGTATGAATGCACTGACCACACGAGTTTAGAACAGTGGGATGATTATCATATTTAGTCTGTATCACAGGGATCCTATTGTATTGAGACAGTGTGAGGCTGCGGTATGCATTTTCACGCGCATATATTCATGTCTGTTACAGAATTTTGTTTGTTGACGTTGTTTGAACCATTCGCTTGCGACAGGTTGCCAATAATTCTTGGATGTTCTGGACCTTGGGGGCCAAGCAGTTTGCGACCGCCAAGTCTACTAGTGAATCTTGCTGTAGACCCGCAAGGTAAGCCATTGTGTCATCATTATATACATACTACTAAGTTATTCACAACATTCCCCCACTCCTCTAGGTCGCATGTTCCAGATTCGGTCGCACACTTTCAAGTTTTGATACCTCTATTCACGGACTCTCCAATACACTTTCGCTACCGTGCATCCACTGTCGATAGTGATGTGCACGGCCCGGCTTCAGGCCGTGGGCCGGCCAAAGCCGAGCCTGATTAGGCCGAGCCGAGCCGGGCCCAAGTCAGGGCCTGACCACGGCCCAGGGCCCGGCTTGAGGTGTTGAAAAGCCTGAGCCGGCGGCTCAGGCCGCGGCTTTTTGTCCCTTATCGGCCTCGATATTTGTGACCATGTAACTATGAAAACAGGGTCAGTCCAGCTAATCCACCAACCATGTACATCCCTCCATTCGATAATCCAACAGAGGTCTCCTCAGGCTGCTTCATGTGGTTCCTCAAGATGGGTGTATTGGTTGATGCAAGAGGCACTGTCTGCGCGGTCGAATTTGCCCCTCATCATTTTGGGTTGAAGTTGGTACATCAGGCATTCGTCTCATTTAAAAATTTATGAATACCTCTGCAAGGCAACTCGTACTCCGTGGTGTTTGTGTTCCATTCAAGAGCCTCAAGCTTGTCACCAACATATACGAGTATATTCTGCACAAGGTCCGTCATCAGATCATCAAATTCCTCACGATGGACCGCTAAGCTTTTAGCAGGCATCACCCTTCGCGAGATCTCCTCATCCTCTTCCCTCCTCCTACTCGTGTCTGTCGTCCGCACTCGTTTGAGCCATATCAGCAGTTGCTGACGTGCGCTGGGCGTTTGCGCATGGCGTTCGTGGTGTTGGGAATGGCGTGGTGGAGCTTCTCAACCTGGGTGAATTCACGCGCGACTTGGAGTACTGATTTACATTGGTATGCGCGTGTCGTTGATTGCTCACCGTTACAAATATGCTTAGATTGAATTTTGGATCATTTTGTTCTTGAAAGCCGTCGTTGAGCCCAAGCCGAGCCGCGGCTTTGGCCTGGCTTGGGCTCACGGCTCGGCCTGAGCTTTTGCAAAGCCCAAGCCCCCCAAAGCCGGGCCTAAGCCGGGGCTTTCAGGCCGAGCCGGGCCCGCACATCACTAACTGTCGACATGTTTTCGTAGCTGTTTGTTATTTCAGTGCTCCCAGTGTATAATATGATCACATCCAATGCTACCTGTGTATATTTTGAGACGCGAGTGAAACGCGTGTGATGCACAATAAAATCGTATATAAGACTATTTGAGCACATTCTAGTACGGCATCGAGCTTGTTCAACTATATGCTACTACATGTTCTGATGTGTTTTTGCAGAAAAAAACATACGAGGGCATTAGGGATCTCGCACCAACATATAGAAAATGTGCGGATTGTCCCACTTTATAAGCAGAATGTGCCCTGCCGGTATTTTCTTCCCGATCACTTTCATCAACACATCCCAACACATACAGTCCTCTCCCGTCATAACCAGTTCTTACTGGGATTGAGTCCCAGTGAAAACTGACTATGACGGGAGAGGTCTATATGTGCTGAGACATGAATTACCGTATTAGTACTGTGCCAGGGTGTGCTCATTTCTTATATTTTCGTCATTTATTAGCTTTGCAAAGTTCGCATTGCATAACATCTTCGTATCAAGCTATGTAATAGCACAAATTCCGTATCACAAAGCGCAAACTGCACATCGCAAACACAAACTTTGCATCAATGTCATTGCAACTTGTGCAAGCTACGAAGGTCGTGCGGCACCCCAAAGCAACATAAATTGTTGGGGCCAAATTTCTGTTGTCCCACCCTTCTTTCTCCCCACCCTTCTTCCTCCCCACCACATTCCCACCTCCGAGTTAAAGGTCTCGCTATTCTCCTCCACTGGTTCTGCCCTGTGAGTGTCTCACATGTCGCTTATCCGACGGTATGATTGCGCTGACCACACGAGTTTAGAACAGCAGGATGATATAAAACTGAGGCCACTCTATTGTTGCGTGACTTTTTTTGTTTGTTGATGTTGTTTTAACCGTTCGCTTGCAACAGGTTACCAACGATTCTTGGATGTTCTGGACCTCGGGGGGCAAGCAGTTTGCGACAGCCAACTCTACTAGTGAATCTCCCATAAGGTAAGTCTCATCTACTAGGTCGCTTCTGATACATGGACTAAATCTGTCTCCGAAGGATGTCTCTATTAGATTCAGCACGATCCGACATACACATTTCCTACAATGTTTTTGAGTGCTTTCGAGCCGTTGTCCGCGCGTGTCATGTTTTCAAGCCGCTATGTGTTTTTGAGCTTTTTTGTACCACTTTTGTACCACCATTGCTACAGTGCCTAATATTATTCGAGCATATTTGCACACATTTTCAACCATCTGGCAAGGGGAACGAGTATATGCGTTCAAATGCGCAAATATGTTTTACGTTAAAAAAGCACCTATGTGCATGAGGAAACCCGCCCCCACATATATTGAAATGTGCGGATTCACTCACTACATGTCTTATCATGTTCTCATATGTTTTTCTATCGAGCTGCTGACAAAATCACTTATCGTCACACCACGACTCCTCCCGTCATAGTCAGTTTTCACTGGGATTGAGTCATGGAACCTTTCGAAACTGTTAAGAACATGCTCAAGGGTCGGATCCGAAGGGCTTGGCTTCAGCTCGTGCGCTGCGCCCCTTACCCGAGTACGTGCCCCTAACTTCCGAGGGTTGTCGAACGATGTCTGAAGGTTACCGGACGATGTCTGGAGGGCGTCGGGCGATGTCCGATGCACGGGAATTCCGGCGGACGTTCGGAAACAAGAGATAAGACTAATCCGGACGAAGTCCGAACTAGAAAGGAAACAGCGGAGGACTACCAGAGGTAGAGGCGGAGGTGACAAGTCTATAGGAGTCGATCCTAAGACGAGCGGAGGTCGACGAGAGAGAAACTCAAGTCGGACGGAGGAGGGAATGAGCAGAGTCTAAGATGATATTCGAACTGAGGAAACTACAGAGATTGTACAGGGGTTTATATACTACTGAGGACATAACAGAGAACAGTAAGTGCAGTGCGAAGCTATGTAAAGCTATGAAGAAAACATATGGGACGACTATCACTAGTCTATTGGAACTTAGTAAAATGAAGACGGAAATGAATAAGGAACGGAAAATAAAGCGTACTAACTGATAAGGGAAATACCAAAGGGATAAGGCACGGAAGTTAGACGCGGGTCGGATCCGGACGATACATAGAAGTCGGCCGGATCCGGAAATCCGGAAATGATGAGTGTGATAGGTCCGGGTCCGGAACGCGGGATATGACAGAAACATGTAATGCAGGCCAACCAACTTCGTGCCAGAGTAAGTCCACATCAGGAAATCATCGAGTGCCTAAGTGCCTACCCCCACCCATACCCCTGGGTACCCACACCCACAACCCACAGTGGGTTATAGATACCCATGACATTGCCTAATAGTAATGAACAATCCGAGTTGTAGGTTGAGTTGATTGAGTTTTAGGTGATGCCTTGCATGCAGACGAATCACCTTTGGCGTTGGCGAGTGCCAGAAAGTTGACTTGATGTTTTCAACCGCCGCTGTTGCTACTACTCATGAGGCGCTGACAAGGTTTTCGAGGTCTTGTCATTACTTGCAATTGGATTTGTATGTTCGCGGAAGTTGAAATTTCAGCGCTGGAGCTGCAATTAACGCTCGTTGTAGAGCACCGTCCCTGCTGCACTGGTTTTCTTATCACACCGTTCTGGATCCACGTGTTTTCTTATCAGACGCCCCGCTCTTGTGATGCCCATGTCTTCTCTATTCTATAATCAGGTCGCCGTTCTAGATAAAGTACCTCAGAGGAGAACTCTTTCCTAGATCAAATTACCATGGCTAATGCTCTTCACCCTCTCCACATCCATGGTACTCAATTCTTGTCGTCCAGTACTATCATCAACCCCGCTGAATATATCCAACAGGTATCACCGTCGATTTCAGCAAGTTGAAAACGAATGTAGAGTCTGCTGAAGTACGGATTGGCAAATTCAATTCGCCAATTAAACGTGAAGAAGGGAAGAGTTTATGCGAGACGTTTTCTCCACCCATGTAGCTTTTACTTAAGCACTCAACCCTAACTTATATTCTCACCTGAGTTACTTTGGTGTCTCTTTTGCTTTAGAATGTTTTCTCGCGGGAATATATTTTCCTTACGTATGCAGTACAAGGGACGTTTTGTGATGAAGACCAAAGACATTACTTTCGACCCAAATGATACTTTCCTGGTATCTAGTGGACAAGGTAAAACAATAACAATAGCACTCTCACCTCACACGAACTCAACTTTACATCTGTAGAATACATCAAGTGGTATAAAAAAATCCGGGTCGTCGTCGATCTTTCTGGTGATACTTCAACTAAAGTAAGGATCCACGTTTGGCACCGAAACCGTCTAAGTCGTAGATTAGCAGGCTGTCTCTTCTGGCCAAAGCTCTGGGCTCCTGCCTACCACTGCCGACATATTTGAGAGCTGTCCTCGGTGAGTCAGGGTGATCATGAGGCACTGGCTTTGAGGCTGACGCTCCCAAGGTTCCGAATTCTGGTAATAGGAAAGGTATCTGACTTCCTCCAATCTCGGGCCAGTGTTGACGACGTACTTTTAATAGACAGGTGTTGGCAAGTCATCCCTGATCGACCACGTATTTGGAGTAGGCGAACAACAAGTGAGCAACGACACTTCAACGAGCATAGATACTGATACTGTCAATAGATCATCGAGCACAATAAGCCAGGCGAGGCTATCATCAACAAGGAGTTCACCTCACCTGAGAACGACAGGTTCGTTCTCCACGATAGCAAAGGTTTCGAACCAGGGGAAGTAGAAAACCTCACAATAGTCCAAAAAATTATCGAACGTCGGAGGAACATGCCGGATTTGAAAGATCAGCTGCATGCTGTTTGGTGGGGATTCTATCTTGACCATTCCGTTATGGTAGACTAACCAAGTACATGGAAGGCTTTGCTTTCAGATACCCCGTGCAGGCAGATGTTTACTAGAGACGGGAACGGAGGAGTTCCTGGAATTGAAACGTAATGGAACGCTGGGAAACGGTAAGTGAATCGTTAACTATTTCTTTGCTACGTCGGGGCTCACACTTTGTCCAAGTTCCCATTATCGTCGTCCTTACTAAATACGATATGCTCATCGAACACGTGGAGCGAAATCTAGATGAAGCTTCTCTCGATGAATCGAGCGATGAAGCTTTCGAAGAACTCGTCAAGAGCACAGCAAAAGCAGAGGTGCAGGATACCTGCATCGGACCTCTAGAGGAATTTTCAGGGTCTGATATCCCCCACGCCACGATCTCCAGTGTGTACCAATACTCTGACAGGTTTATGCGTGCTTCTGAAGTGTAATATTGCAGCCGCCAAAGGCTACGAGGAGACACTCACCCATCTGATTGAAATAACTGAAAGTTGTGTGAATCAGCATCTTGCGCCCGAGGCCGCGGTGATGACCTCCGTCGCTCAGCGAGTGCATCCTGGACTCAAAATAGATGCATTAATTAAGTAAGTCTTGCTTGCCTCATTCTTATCTGGTGATTTATGCAATGTCAGGATTGGCAAGCAAAGTTTGTCCCAGTTTCGCGTTCATAATCACTGAATACACTCTAAATCTCAATGTCTTGCAGGATACTGGAAGGCGCTCACATCATGTCCAATGTTCAAGAAACACCAGATGCAGGATTGTCTACGTGTGCTTCATAATGACATCATCGAGGTGTGGAACTTCCGTGACTCTCATCATGTGATGGCTATCTTATTTGTCGTCGTTGCATTCGCGCTAACATGATTTGCGCATAGTACTTGCGCAGCCAAGAGTTCAGGGATTTGATGATGAAAATGGCCGATAAGACACAAGCTGGATCTACAGCTAATCCCAACACGACCTTGTAGGCCGGTCTTTTGTGTGACAGATAAATTTTATCTCATTGAATGTTTACAGGAAATTTGGGTTATCCATGGTTGGCACTATTGCGGGCATCGTGTCCGCATTAGCGGGACCTGCAGCTCCCATCGTAGTACCAATCGCAGCAGGCGCCGTGGTCGTCGTATGGGTTCGCGAAGTATACAAGATGTCGTATGCACCACTATTTTTTTCGTGTGTGAAAGGATATCGACACTTCTTTGTTAGCCACGTGGTGCTTCAGCGCTTCATGGCATACATCATGCACTTGACACTTGTGTTGCAGACACTTTTTATCGTGTCAGAAAGCCAGGAACTCACTCGTAGGGCCATCAAGCTTGCAGTCAAATCCTACGTCGCCTCCTCAATAAGCGAAGAGGTTCTTACTCGGATTCAGGATTATGTTGGGGGATTGGCTGTCTTGGAACACGCGGATAAGGATACCTTGGATAAAATCGAAGAGATGATGCAATTTTACAAGATCGATGGAGCACAAATCACCGAACTTGCAGCACAAATGTCCAACCTTCAGACAAATATTTATTTGTTACCAGACGAACCATGGTAAATCGAGAAGTCGTAGCACTCGATTGTTTCTTTCTTGGATGGTTTTGGGCGTGGGCGGTGTTTGAGTGTTGACGCGATTACAGACAGTGCTCGCTTGTACTATACAACTGGATTTACTATACCCGATTGTAACAATGTAACCTATGCTCTACTGTGTTCTATTGACGTGATGTACTTAGTATTGCTAGATTTTACTCGAGCCTCCAACGTGCCGAGGTATTGTAACAGTTCACAAAAACTTGGCCTCATGCACAGACAATCGTTCGACGTCTTTCGAACAGGCCATGATGCACTGGATTTAGATGCTCGGTGAGCTAATGAAAGAAAATAATGAGCAGTGCGATGGTCCCCACTGACCTTTTAGTGTTGAGGATCGATGTAGGTTCGTTCCAGTGGTGGTAAGCCACACGGTATGACCGTAGACCAGAGCGCATCCATTGCAGGCTCGCAAAATATTTTGCATGTCGTCGCAAGCGCCGCAGGGGAATCACGAGCAAAAGTACGTTGCGAGATAAATTCAGGATCCCTGAAATGCAGATCAGTGCAACTGTATGCTGGAGGATCTCAGCAACGATGCGGTACGGTAGAGCTCGATGCATGTCGTTTATCGAGTCTCTCCTGATTCTAGATGGGTATACGACGTACGAATTACGCAGCTGCATACAACATGAGGCCTGAGGAATACACGAGTCAGAGGTCGATGTAGCTTTGATCATTCGGAAGCGACGGAATATCTGTGTTGGGTCACAAGGATCCGTAAGAGTGGGCAAGGCGGAGAACGTAAAAGCACCTGGGTGCTAGCCACATATTGAGGCGGTTGGTATCTCGATCACGGGTCACAGGGTCCATGCCTGAAGGGTAGCAGCACCTAACAGCTGGTCTCTAAAGAAGCATGAGCGCTAACTAACCGTGCTTCCTTCTCCCATCATACATTTCGAATCAGTCACTGTTACGGACTAGGATAGTTCGAGCTCTCCCTAGGCGGATTGCCTAATCTGATAGCGGGCTCGCTACTGGAGAGACGGGGATCTTCTCTCGAATGAGAGGTTCGGGGGTTCCACTTAAGGTAGCGTCGGCTTTCCTTAAGGTGCGGCTTAGACTGAAGGACTGGGACTGTCTTTCAGAGGAAGTTCTGGATAAAACCTAGTAGAATCAAGTAGGGAATATACATGATTCTGTCTGCTCTATATACTGTCGTCCGTGTGCACAGACCAATACTACGTTCGGTAGGTAGGTATGAGTGTGTCTATACAAGGGCATCTTATCTGATGCCATGCGGGCGATTATCTATACATGAGGCTTACCATGCCTCTCTTATCTGTCCTCAAGGCGAAGCATGCCTTGGAGTCTAACTGCGCATGCTGAGGCATGCGGCTTCTCTTCTGACCATGAAGCAGAGCTTCTCCATGATCCGGGTCGAGGACCATCTAGGTCCGATCAGATGTAGCCTAGGCTGGTCTAGGTCATCTAACGGCATCCAGGCCGTTCCAGGTGTCTCTACGAGTCTCCGTTGAGTCGGTAAGTCTTCCAAGACGGTGCATATGGTGGGATAGGGGCTAAGGTTATGATGACCTCCGTAGGAGGGGTTCTCGGTTACATGTTATTGTAACAGTCACGGTATGGTCGCTCCAAGCCTCCATACATACGTATTTGGTACGCCCTCGACCATTTACAAGCGACCAATTAATTCTCTCTCTATCTTTGAAGGGTCCATGGGAAAAGGTACTAGTAGATGTGACGAAGAAGTATTGGTGTAGCCTTATAATCATTGCAGTGTGCAGTGTGAACCGGCAAATACCCCACCCGAAGCCAGATTCAGTGGGCAATGGGCAGTATAGATATATATTGGATGCAAATTGAATGCGTACCTTCAAAGGCAGAATCAGGTTTGTTGATATTTGAAATTAGTCACGGTCATGTGCCGCTTTGAAGGTCAGCTTTTGCGCTCTCCGAGTCCTTGCCGCGCCATGAGTTTGCGCAAGTCTCCCATACTTAGTAGTCATACATTGCGAGGAAGACAGTCAGTTCCTTCATGATAATAAGTTATCCTCCAACCGCTTACAGGAGAACTTCAAGTTGATCCCAGTGAGTCTCCCAGGCCGACTCAACCTGAGGTATGTCATATGGTGTTCTTATGACATACATGTTTTCCATTTTATATAATTAATGACGACTGCAGGGTGTTGAGGAGGTGTTTTATGTTAGGCGTCAATACTTATCTGTGACAGTGTGGGTGCACGCAGCGCCATCATGAGCTCGGCATACACGAGGGTACCTCGCAGCTGAAGCACTGACCCATGGCTTGCCCTCAGCCTCTATATAAATTCACAGCAGCTCGAAGTCGACTTTTCCCCAAATCAAATCAGCATGGCCAATACTCCTCACGCCCCAACGGTTTCCTGGCATCTCCACGTGTATGGTACTCAATTCCTGTCGTCACGTAGTACCATTAACCCCACTGAATATATCCAATAGGTATCACCGTCGATTTCAGCAAGTCGAAAACGAATATAGAGTCTATTGAAGTACGGACCAGCAAGCATTCACCAATTGAACTTGAACGTGAATCAGGAAAGATTTTTCGACGGACATTTTCTAAGCCCACGTAAGTACTCGGCCCCAACACATGTTCTCACCTGAGTCGCTATTGTGTTTGTTGCCATAGGGCGCTTTCTCAAGGGGATACATTCTCCTTACATTTGCGGTGCAAGGCGTGGCTTAGGATGAAGACCGAGTATCAAGACATTCCTTTCAACCCAGACGACATGTTTCGCGCGTGTCATGCAAGACAAGGTGAAACAAGAATTATCGCGTTCTCATTTTGATCATCTACGAACTCGACCTCACATCCCTAGGATACAACAAAATTCATAAGAAAATCAGTATCTTCGTCGACCTTTCTGGGAATACAGTAATCGAAGTAAGTATCCCCGTCTTGCATCGAAACTGTCTAAGTCATGGATTAGCAGACTGAGCAGTCTACCTCTTCCGCTAAAGACCTTGAGCTCCGGCCTACAACTTCTGAAATATTTCAGAAGTGTCCTTGGTGAGTCAGGATGATCATAAAGTGCCGTCCTTGAGGTTGACGCTCCCAAGGTTCCGGATTCTGGTGATAGGAAAGGTATTTAGCAGCTGTCTTTCTCCGATATCGGGCCAGTTTTGACGTGCTTTTAAATAGTCTGGCATCGGCAAGTCATCGCTGATCAACCACATATTTAAAGTGAAAAAAACGGTGGGCCAAACGCGATGCTTCAACCAGCACAGCTACTCATACTGTCCATAGATCATCGCCCATGAGAAGCCAGGCGAGGCCAGCATCGACCATGAGTTCATCTCGCCTGAGAACGAGAGGCTTGTTCTCCACGATAGCAAGGGTTTCGAACCAGGGGAAGAAGACAACCTCAAAATAGTCCAAGATTTTATCGAACGTCGGAGGAACATGCCTGCTATGGAACATCAGTTGCACGCTGTTTGGTAGATTCTATCTCGACCATTCCATTATGGTGGGCTGACCAAATACATGGAAGGCTTTGCTTTGAGATACCCCGTGCAAGTGGACGTTTGCTAGAGACGGGGACAGAGGATTTCCTGAAATCGAAACATAGTGGAATGCTGGGAAACGGTATGTTCATCGATCCTATCTCTCTCTTACGTTGGAGCTCACACTTTGTCAAAGTTCCCGTTGTAGAGACTCGTGCCTCGCATTGTGTAATATGGCACTTTCCACTAGGGAGTACACAGCACGACTTGCAGCATCACTCTGTGTGCTATCCACAGCTATTCCCTTACGCGCGCGCGCTTTCCCGCGCTTCAGCGCCCTATAGCGCCAGCCATCCAGAAGCATCCATCCACTGTCCACCAAGCTCTCTAGTGCGTGTATTTCCATTTCCCTTATTTACATATCATCCCACCTTTATTTATATCATGGACCCTTACTTACATATAGCTTTACATACCTTACTCGGTAGCGCTTCGGCTCCGCGTGACAGCGCTTAGGCGCCGTATATAAGCGCCAGCATTACATACTATTACGGAACTTAACTTTTTCCAACTAAGACTCTACCTCCCACTTACCCACTTACCACCTAGAGAATATAGTTGCAATCTATTCTTTGACACCTCGCACCAGTATCTCTTGTTATTCATCTAATCACCACTTAAGCAAACTCACACTTACTCTCACTTGTCTCCGCTCACGCGCGCTTCCCGCGCCTCGCGCGTACCTTCGCTTTCCCGCGCCTCGCGCGCACCTGCGCGCTTTCTCGCGCTTCGCATTGGCCGACCAGTAGCGCCTTCAGCGCCTACTCCTAGAACCTTGCTGCACTCGCTTCCCCTTTAGGGTCAAACGTACTTGTCTTCTCAAGAATAGCAGACTAGGCAACGCGCGACCTCACAACATTATAGATACAGTTTGGAGCATTCATTTGTTCCTCTCAGTATTGTTGTTTCTACACCGTCATCGCCATTCTCACTAAATACGATATGCTCATCGATCGGGTGGAGCGAAATCTAGATGAAGCCTCTCTCGATGGATTGGACGACGAAGCCATCAAGGAACTCGCCAAGCAACAAGCTGATGCTGAGGTTCAGGTAGGGATCCGCACGGGTATACCCTGGGGTGTCGGGGACCTGACCCGCACCCGCACCCCGAGGTATACCCGGACCCGCACGAAGGGTGCGGGTTTTTGGGGGGTATGGCCAGCTCGTACCCTCACCCGCACCCGTGCAGGGTTTACCCGTGGGTAGTACATATAAATATCAAGTTAGAAATATGAAAAAAATGATTGTAAAATAGAACTTACTAAGACATTGCGAACGGTGGGCAACGACTTCGATCAGTATGGCTTGAGCTCGATGGAGGATCGACACACTATGAACAATAGACAATGACTTCAATCAGTATGGCTTGAGCTCGAACGAGGACGACACACTCACGTTCTATGAACATTGGGCTACGACTTGGATCAGAATGGCTCTTGCTTGAACGAGGATCGGCGCACTCACATACTGCGAACGTTGGGCTACGACTTGGATCAGCATAGCTCTTGCTTGAACGAGGATCGGCGCACTCACATCCTGCGAACGTTGGGTGACGACTTGGATCAGCATGGCTCTTGCTCGAACAAAGATCGGCATGCTCACATCCTGTGAACATTGGGCGACAACTTGGATCAGCATGGCTCTTGCTCGAACGAGGATCGGCGCACTCACATCCTGCAAACGTTGTGCTACGACTTGGATCAGCACGGCTCTTGCTCGAACGAAGATCGGCATGCTCACATCCTGCGAACATTGGGCGACGACTTGGATCAGCATGGCTCTTGCTCGAACGAGGATCAGCGCACTCACATACTGCAAACGGTGGGCGACGACTTGGGTCAGCATGGCTCGAGCTTGAAGGCAGGCGTTGTGTTGAAGAAGATGGAGGGGTATAGCACGCTATAGTAGGTAGTGTAAGCATTAGCAATAGGACAAGTGTAGTAAGTACCGCTATAGTTCTCGATTATGTAATGTACCGGTCAAACCCGAGCGCGGGTGTGGGGTGTGGGTCCGGGTACTCAAAGTGCGGACCCCCACCCGTACCCCAGTAGTACCCATACCCGTGCATATGCCTAGGTTCAGGACAGCTGCATTGGACCTCTAAAGCAATTTTCAGGGTCTGGTATTCCCCACGCCACGACCTCTAGTGTGTATCGATACTCTGACAGGTTCATGCATGTCTCTGAAGTGCAATATCACAGCCAAAGAAGACTACAAGGAGACTCTCAACCGCCTGATAAAGATAACTGAAAGCTCTGTCAGTCAGCATTCTACATCCGAGGCCACGGTGATGATCTCCATCGCTCAGCGAGTGGACCCTGGACTCAAAATAAAGGCATCGATTGAGTGAGCCTTGCTTGCTTCATTTTTATCTGGTCATTTACGCATTGTCAGGGTTGGCAAGAAAAGTGCGTCCCGCTTTCGCGTTCGTAATTACTGAATACGGTCTAAACCTTCGTGTCTTGAAGGGTATTGGAAGGCGCTTATGTCATGCCCAAGGTTCAGGAACCGCAAGATGTGGGATTGTCTATACGTGCTTCACACTGACATCGTCGATGTATGGAACTTCTATGACCCTCATCTTGTGATGGCTATCTCATTTGTCGTCATCGCACCCGCCCTAACGTGATTTATGCACAGTACTTGCACAGCCAAGAGTTCAGGGAACTGATGATGAAAATGGTCGATACGATACAAGCTGGACCTACACCTAATCTCAAGAAGACCATGTAGGCCGGTCTTTTGTGTGACGGATGAATTTTTATCTCATTTAATGTTTACAGGACCTCTGGATTATCCATGCTGGGCACTATTGCGGGCATGATGTCGGGACCTGCGGCTCCCATCGTAGTACCAATCGCCGCAGGTGTCGTACTCGCCACGTGGGTTTACGAGGTATACCAGATATCGTACGCACCACTATTTTCGTGTACGAAAGGATATCGATAATTCTTTGTCAGTCATGCGGTGCTTCAGCGTTTCATGTCCTACATCATCCACTTGACGCTTGTGCTGCAGACACTTTATCTTGTGTCAGACGGCCAGGGACTCACTCATAGGGCCATCAAGCTGGTGGTCGCTTCCTACCTCGCCTCCCCAATGAGTGGAGAAGTTTTTACTCGGATTCAGGATTACGATATGCAATTGACGATCCTGGAACGCGCAGATCACGATACCTTGGATAAAATCGCTGAGGTGATGCAATTCTATAGCATCGACGAGACACAAATGTCCAAACTTCGGGAAAAGCCTCTAGTAGATTTGTCATCGGACGAACCATGGTAAATCGAGAAGTTGTAGCACTCGATTGTATGTTTCGTGGATCGTTTTGTGTATGGGCGATGTCTGAGTACTGAGGCGATTAAGAAGGTACTATACAACTAGATTTATGGCCGATCATAACAATGTAGTCTCATGTACCAAGTTACTGCTAGATTTTACTCGAGCCCTCTGAGTAAAACATGTTAAGGTACTGAATTTCAATGCTTGGTGAGCTAATGAGAATAAAGCACAAGTCCGATGGTATTGAGTATATATTTTCAAATGTAGTAGTGTAGCGTTCCTAAAAACCTTGACTTCAACAAGACATCATCTCTCCATAGTTTCTGACATATTCCTTATCGTTTCTTACTCTACAGTATTCAAACTGTTGGTAAGGGCAGTTGATCTTCCCCCCACCATTTGTAAGGATCGCGGTCGTAGCTGTCCACGTGACTCACCGCATCACTCTTCGTAACCGAGCCATGCCGCTTTCTTTTACATCTCCTTCTCACTCTTTCGTTATCTCACCTTGTGCCCAAACTTCACGATCTCCTTGCTTCACCGAAGTATTTTCACCTCGCCATATGCTCACCACGCTCGTTCCGGTCTAGTCAAGTATTCGAAAAACGTATATATACTCCCCATGTAACTCATACCTACAGCGAATCCTACAGTGAGATCCCCGCTCCAAGAACGACCGAAAGCTCCTCCAAAAAGTCCTCGTCTCAAGTCTTAGTCCCATCTCTCTTCGTGTTACCTACACGTCTTGTTTCTATCTCGTTTCGTTCGCAATTCCCTGCCGAACGCACACCCAGCCTTACACATTTAGTTCTGACAGTTCTCTCATCTAAAACCTTATTGGCGTTTGACACACATGACAACACGATGCGGCTTAGCGTCGGAGTCACAGGAATTCAAACTCACTATATAGTCATTATCTCTCGTTTGCCTCCCTTCCCTCAGTTCGTTGTTCTACGACTGAGGGTACGTTTACCGTTTCACTATATGTTACCTAGACACTAACGCAACCTCTGTAGTCTGACGTTGTCTAGGTACATACTAATATCAGTTCGTTGTTCTACGACTGAGGTCTGACGTTGTCTAGACTCTATAGGTTATGAGCCCTGCTCACTCGTAAGGAACGAGCGAGCGGAAACCCCCTAGACGCCGCCAAGCCTTTAATATACCTGACAGGACATCAACGTCGCCGGCGTGCAACGCTACACGCTGAACCATTCGACGTCATCGAAACGTTCATATTTTCCCTTTCCGGGCGAGAAGCATCGCATCAATAGACGCGTCCCCTTAAATAGCGGGATCCATTCGCGTTTCCCCCTTCCTGCATCCTTCTCGCTTACCATCACTGGCTGGGATGGCAAAACATCACTTACGATCCAACAGTACCAACACCAGCATTCCCAAACCAGCTCCGTCTATTACTACACCTTCTGCGACAATCGCAAACACGCTCCAGCCTCCTGCTACACGCGGGGCCGGGACAAGCACTTCTACTATGTCGACTACTATGAGCTTGAAAGTGGTTGCGATTACTCTGAGCCACACGGACCTCGAGAAAATCGAACTTCTCAACCGAGGACAGAACAATTGGGGGACTTGGTCCGCCAAGATGCGCAACTACCTGCTACTCAAGCATGGGGGAGGTTACCTCCTTGGCATTATAACGCGCCCGGACGAAACCATAGATCCTGCTGGCGCCTATACTTGGGACCTCAACAATCTATGCATTGTCGCGGCGTTGAGCACTCGCTCGTGCACGGAGGACCAAGACTTTTTACTCCCATTCGTCGACGCGCACACTGCGTGGAAGGCTCTTAGATCTCGCCACGAGCAAGTAGGCCCTATTGCCCAAATTCTTCTCATTCAGCAGGCCTTTGCCCTTCGCTACCGTCGCTCTGAGCGCTTCTCGCTCACCAGTACCCAACTTGCCGAACTCGCCAGGCGCATATATGCTATTGGTATCCCCAAGGAGGAAGACTTCCTTACTATCATCATGCTCAACGCCATGAGTGAGGACCTTCCCCACGTACGCAACCATGTCGCCGATGCTATCGCAATTAGTACGTCGTCTGCTCCCTATGGTCCCAGCAATATCCGTTCCCGTCTCGAACTTGAGCAACAACTTGTCGATAACAACAAGGGCAAGGGATCTGGCGACATCGCCATGGTGGCTTCCAACAAAGGAAAGTTCAACCGTAGTCGCTCCACCAATCCAACCATTTGCACCGACTGCGGGCAATCCACTCACACCAGCTGCTGCTCTACATGTGGAGGGTGGTGGCATTCCGCTAAAGATTGCTACGGGAAAGGAGGAGCTATGGAGGGTAAGAAGGACGAAGTCATTGCACGTCGGCGTGCTGCACGCCCCGCTGGTAACTCTACGAAGACAGCGGGGACCTCTTCCTCACGCCCTACTAAGGGTGCTTCCACTGGGAAGCCAGGTGGTCTACGCTACGACACTAACAGTCGTGCGTATCTTCTGGATGCTGAGACCCACGAGGCCATTTTCATCGCCAGCACCCCTTCACCCTCTCCCTCCAATACAGATGCTACCACACCTACCAAGGAGTTTGCGGGCCTCGCGTACGACAGCCCCACGTCTGCCTTCATTGAGGAACTTCCCGAGGATGCATACGACGCGTTACTTGCTGCTGTCGACCTCCAAGCTAGTGTTGACTGGCGTGCGCACTCCCGACCAGTGGACTTCGCCGGTTTGGCCTACAAAGCGCCGAACCAACGTGCGCGCACTCCCGTTGATCCATCCATTGTTCCCTTCTTCCTCGACAGCGGTGCCTCCGTGCACATCAGCAACACCGAGGCAGATTTCTACACCTTGCGTCCCATTCCTCCCCGCATCGTCAGCGGCATTGGTAACTCGTCCATCCAGGCTGTTGGTGTCGGGACTATTCGCTTGATTATCGCGAAGGGTATTCATTTGACGCTTGATCACGTCCTCTTCATCCCTAACGCCACAGTCCGCCTGTTATCTGTCTCTGCTATGTGCACTGCGCACCGTTGCGTTGCGTCCTTCGACGCTACTTCCTGCTGGGTTCAAGCCCGCAGTGGTACTCGCATGCTCACCGGGACTCTGACTTCTCGTCGCCTCTACACGCTTTCTGGAGGACAACTGTCCGCAGACCACGCGTACCTTGCGCATCGCACTCCTAACCTGGAGACTTGGCATAAGCGTCTGGGCCATGCGAACTATCGCACAATCTACGACTTTGCCCGCTCTGGGCTAGCTACCGGTATGCCCATTGATCTCTCCTCACTCCCTCCCGTTTGTGACGCTTGCATTCTCGGCAAACAGACAAAGACAAGTGTACCGAAGGTTAGAGAGGGAGAACGCGCAAATTGCAGGCTCAGGATTGTACATGTCGACTTGATGGAGCATCCGGATACTGTATCCGTCGCGGGAAATAAATACATAATGGATATCATTGACGATTTCTCCTCTTATTCCTGGTCCATTCCCCTTGCGTCAAAGAGTGACGCGTTTCCAGCCCTGCAAGCTTGGGAACGTGCACGTGATGTCGAGACTGGTCTTAAGGTTGGCATCTTTCGTTCTGACAACGGCGAACTGAAGTCAGCGGGAATGCGTGAATGGCTTCTGACCCGGGGTACCTCACACCAGTTTACAGCCCCTTATACTTCAGCCCATAATGGCCGCGTCGAGCGCCTGCACCGCACCTTAATGGGGAAGGCACGCGCTATGCGTTCCTCTTGCAACGTACCCGCTAATCGCTGGGATGAGTTTGTTCTGACAGCTAACTATCTGTCTAACCGGACGCCTGTCACATCCCAAGCTGGGCATACCCCGTACAAAGCCTGGTTCAGTTGCCAGCCTGATCTCTCACATTTACGCGAAATTGGATGTCGTGCCTTTGTGCTTATCCAGAACCGGCACAACCCTAAAATCTTCGAGCGCTCAGCCGAATGTGTTCTCATCGGGTATTCGCTGGATTCTAAAGCTTACAGGTGCTATCATCGCCCCTCCAATAAAGTGTTTGTTTCATATAATGTTTCGTTCATTGAATCCTTTAATGACCACTCTACGTCCTTACAACCTGGAAAAGTACTGTCTAATCCTTCCGCGTCCTCTAGGTCTGACGCACCAGACACGCCATCTTCATTCTCTCAGCGCGCCTCTGTCTGTGACGCTGAGGACGAGCCTACTGAGGCTCCCCCTACAGTGTCAGCGCCCACTCCAACTGACACACCCCGCCGCTCTTCACGCGCACCTGTTCCCTCCGAGAGACGTTGTGCCGCCAACGGTGTCCCATACGCCACTGCTGCCCAACGAGCCGCATTGGCGTCCTTGGCTGCTGTGGACCACCTTCGCGCCCTTGATGGTGGGACTGACCTTGCATTAGCTGCTGATGTTGAGGCGCTGGAATCCGAGCTGGCCCTACTTGCCGAGGTATTTGCTGCCGTCCCTGATGATTTTGATCATGAGCTAGCAGATGACCCCACTACTTACGCCGATGCGATGGCATCTCCTTATGCTCGCGAATGGACAGCAGCCCTCCAGGAGGAGTTCAAATCCCTTAAGGACTTGGGTGTCTACAAGCTTGTTCCCCGCTCGACCATACCTACCGGTCGAAAACTCATGAAGGGACGGCCAGTTTTCAAGCTGAAGCGAGACCAGAATGGCGCTCCTGCACGCTTTAAGGCACGCTATGTATGCAAAGGTTACTCCACTGTCTGGGGACAAGATTATACGAAAACCTTGGCACCCACAGCACGTCTCGAATCCTTCCGAATACTTGCTCACTTGGGCGCTGCTCTGGACTGGGAGATCGAGCAGTTGGATATCAAAACGGCCTTCCTGTACGGGTTGCTGGATTCTGACGAAGTCTGTTACATGGAACAGCCGGAGGGATTTGTTGCACCCGGTTTTGAAGATCATGTTTGGGAACTCCAGAAGGGACTTTACGGAATGAAGCAGGGTGGACTGGTGTGGAACAAGACACTCAACGAAGCGATGTTGTCATGGGGCTTCACAC